CCAGAGCTGACATATCTCTCCCCTTCAGTAATCGTCCTCCGGTCCTCCCTATCATAAAACAGGAGCAATATATAAGATATTGAATAGCACAGGGAGCAGATAAAGCCTTGTTATAGCTGGCCAACAATGGCCAATATGTGAATGAATGATAGCCATTTGATGCACAGATTGAATTCCTGATCTCGTTATGACTTTGGGAAGTCTCCAGGGAAACAACATGATTGGTCATTTGGATATGCTGCTGTGAATCTGAGTCAGATGCTGGTGTTACTGTGAAGCCTGCTGGATAGATTCCTCAATACTGTGAGGTGTACATGGCGTTGTTACAACTCACATCCTGCCTTGCTCATCAAGCTTAGCCATTACGATGGATGTGATGGATGACAAGCATACAAATAAAAAGAGGTGTTCTGGATACTTGGAGTTAAATAAAGTAAAGGCATAAAATGATAAAATACTGAAATAGTGCATTACTTAATTAGTAAAAACACTTCAGCTACACAACAAAGTATCTAGTTGTGGGTTGCGTTTGGGCAGGTTGTTAGCTAGAATCAAATGTAATGTCATTTTTTAAAACTCTAATATCTAAGATTTCCCTTTTCCACCCGCTAAATTGTTAGAATGTGCTGCTCTTTTCTGTCTCATGTGTCAACATTTTGATGGGCAAAGCAAGCGCTTTAAAGACGTCATCTCTCATCATCTTTTCATGAAGTTGTTACGCTTCAAGTTTGGCCGAACCACTTGCATTGAATCAGCTTCGGTCTAAAGAATCTAACTTTTAGGACCATGGGGAACTCTTTAATACCGCACTGGTTTTCCTACTTCTCGCTGTGTAATCTTTAACATGCCACACTGGTTTTCCCACTTTTCTCTGTGTATTTAAAGTTATTTACTCTGCAAACACAGTGGTGCTAAGATGACAGCTGTGAGTAGACACAGTGGAGCCAGAGCATAAGTCAGCCCGCCTTGTTAGTCATGTTTGTCTTCAGGCAGAGATCTTGGGAGTTGTCTTCGACGTTTGACGCTAATGTCACTTAGTGATTTGTGATGTAACAAGCTAAGATGGCAGTGTGACTGTATCTCTGCCCTGAGGAGCTCTTCCTACTGACCAGCAGCAGGATGCTCAGCCCGAGGTAGCTCTGCAGTCACATGGGCAGCACCCAGGCCACACTGAGAGAGTTTTTGCCTTGCAAATTGGCAACCCAACTCCACGAGGATGCAAACCAGCTTTTTCCGACCCAGGCAGCCAACCATCAGTCGGCCTGTGGGATGGTGTGTCCTCGTTATGTAAGAAACAGAAACATAGACAATTTGTTTCATTTAAAACAAGGGTGTCCAAACTACAGCCCCCAAATGCGGCCCTTGGACCATTTTGAATCGGCCCTCACTCAGCAAATTAAAAAAGTATAATGACTTAAGTAAAATAAACTTCCGCTTGTCTTACTTCTTAAATATATATGTTCAAATATATTACACAGTAGTATTCATGTGTTAATAAACCCAATTTTCAAATAAATTCAGTCAATTAAAGTTGAAAACATGTTCTAACAATATAAGTTGATAAGAAAAAAGCCCATTAACAAATGTACATAACAACCTTGAAATATACCCTTCATATTTCCCCTAATTATAAACAATCTGAAGCTTCTGTTTTAAGGACTGAGCTGCTAACAAAGTCAAGTAAACCCTCTGGAGAGCTGTGATGTAGGCTGTTGTTTTCTTAAAGCATTTTCAAGTATCAAGAATAATTGACCTACATTGGATTGACTTTTCCAACTTATAACTTAACGTATGAGGCAATATACCTCACCTCTAGTGAGTGGCCCAGCCCTTCGTATATTTTTCTGTATGTGGCCCTCGGTGAAAAAAGTTTGGACACCCCTGATTTAAAACATTGAATTGCACCTGTTTTAGTCAGTAATAATACAACTCCAACAACCAAGAGCTGAGTAAACACGCGGCCTTATGTAAGATGAAGAAGAAGTGTGTTTTACGTCACATCCCTGCCACAAGTGCTTCATTATATCCAAGCTTGTTATGTTCCCATGATTTGACACATGAGAGGGAAAGTCATGAGATAGACTGCAGGGGTAAATATTCTTGGAAAGATCATCTTGTTCCATTTTGTCTTTGCCTCCTGTTTCTAATGCTATATCTTTGAAGGGACCTAGTGGTCACATACTATAAAAAAAACGGACTATTCATCATTCACTTATTCTGCGGGTTGAAATGTTTTTAAGAAATATATGTATTATACAAGGCATATCTTAGTGCTACTGTTTGTTTTATGTGTACTGTAAAATGTTCTGGCTCCGTAGCTACAGGCTAAAAGATATAAATGTAGTCAGCAGTCTCCAATCCTTTTAGTGGCAGCTTTATCTGTGAAACTTGGACAATAGTTTATTAATGCAATTCTAATTAAACTGTTTTAGTTTACCCTTCATGTAACCGTATTTTATTAAGAGAAATGTGCGTCATTTAACTTGAAGTTATTGCTTAATTACCCCGCTGTCACAACATTTAATAATCCATGTACTGTCACCGTGTTTTTATCTGTAGTGAAAACATGGTGCCAGGAAAGGAGCTAAACTTATTCAAGCTCATAATTAATTCACAACAATCCAGTCAGAGATTGTTATGTCACAGGGTTTAGGGCCATTCATTTCAACAAATAGATATGTAGTCGGATTTGTGATGAAGTTCCCCGAACGCATCCAGGCAGCCCGCAAGCACATTAAAACATCCCTAAGGGTAAAGACAGCGGATAGAGGCAGACACATATCACCGAGATATGAGATGTACATAATGCACAACAACGCAACAACCATCGCACAACAAACAACAGAAAGAGGAAATCTGGTGGAGGGGGAAATCAGCATGAGACGATTGGGAGTTGGAGCCCGTCAGATGATTATTAACCTGTTTGAATGTGACTAGTAATTGTAAAAGTCAGCTGATAGTGACTTCTTCCGGGACCGATGCGGCACTCCATTAGTGTGATAGTTCCCGATGCCCGCTGGGAAATTACCTCCTGTCTTACCCCCCTACTGGAAGATAAGGGACTCTTGGTTGGTGGGTGCAACCGTGTGGAACAGGGTCCTCTATTTAAAGCACCACTGAATCTCCTAATTGCACTTTTCATGCTACACCCTCTTGGCTTCTTCAACAGTAGCTGCGAACGTGTGGCGGTTCAAATGTTGAATGTGTGTTGGGGATTGTTTCAGCTCGGTTACAGTCCACCTAGTTTCTATGAAGGGCAGGGAGAGAATAGAGGCCGCTCAAAGACAAGAGGAGTGTATTTTGAGATTCGTTCTGTGTTTGAGCTGACTTTGTTTGGCTCTTTTTTATGTTGTGGTGCGTAGAAGCAAACCTGTACAGGGGTGATGAGACGCCTCGGGAAACCAAAGTCATGCTTTGCTGCTTTGTGAACAAACAACACGGTCTTTCATGTTCAAACAATGCGGCCTCACAAAGAGTGGCGCAGTGTTTACGTGTTGTTGTAGGCCAACCTGGAAGTTAGCATCGCAATGGCTGCCTCAACAAAAAAGCAATGGCTGCCTCAACAAAAAAGCAATGGCTGCCTCAACAAAAAAGCAATGGGATTTTTCCATGGTTTTTGGAATATTGTGGCAAACACACATCTGTTCAGAGGGATACTCTCCACATATTGACACCATGTATAATTGCTCAAGCCTGAATGTAATGGGCAGAAGTGAAAAGCTAACATCAGGCTATAAACTCAGTACTTGACTATCACTTTATGCTACAGGCGGATTCGTGTGTGGCTTGATGACGTTAAGTAATCGTATTTAGTCACTTTTAAGCTACCTTTCTTTTAGGACATGGAAAAGCTTTGGACATTCACCAGTGGGGAATTTACTCACATATTTGAAGTCGTAGAACAATACGTGAACATCTCGTTAGCTTCTTTGTCCAAAGACATTTTAAACCAAAAGCTTGAGAAAACCCAAAGCGCTAAAACGCTGACTCGGGTAGGGTTAGGGTTAGGGTTAGTGAACAGCCCCTCTTTAGATTTGCTTTTTTAATGCTTACATGTTGAATGACGTTGCTCTACATAACTAAAGCCTATTGCATCATAGTTGCCTGGGCTTACTGCATCTTAATCACATTCTTCTTGCCTCACACTTTTTAACAAATCTCATGAAAAAACAACAATGAATCACCAACTAGTACCGCCTGTGTTGCTATGTTGATATGTTCAACACCAATGCCCCTCCCAGCAAAGGTCAAATGACAAATACAATACAGACTTATCCTTTTAAAGAAATATTGTTGTTCATAATGTGCTTTGATAGTATTTGTAATTAAATGAAGCAGCACCCGAAAGTTATTGAACTCATCCCACTGTTGAAAGATTGGACCAAAGGTAAAGGACGGACCTGCAGGGTCAGAAAGTTGGGGTTAAGAATAGAAACGTCTCGTGGGCAGACATCTTTCCTTTCTTCCACAAAGAGATACTGTGTCCTCTATCTGCTTCTCCTTCGCTCTCAGACAAACCCATTCAAGACTCAGTGATTAATTATTTACCCAGGCAATGAAATGCCAAAGCCTAGAGAAACACACCACCAGGAGAGAAAAGGTCACTCGTAGACACACACTCCACAACACACACTGCCACACAAACACACAACAGTGATGGATGGCAATAACATCTTTATCGGTGCTTCAGGCAGACAGAGTTTTCATCCTTGTGTCCAAACACCGTCGGGACCAAGGGCAAAGCAAAAACGTGAGTGATGAGACGAATTCCTCGAGAGGGCGCTCATTTAAAAACCGCTCACATGTCAGAGGTGGTGAACCGTCCGATCAATAGCATCTCGCAATCTGTCAAAGTGCGTGCTGTAGTTCCTGTGGCTGAAGAATGAATGTAGCCTCTATAGCTTGGACATTGATGGCAAATGTCACCTGCTTTAAAATATATATCATAGAAGTTTTGCTGCTTCAGATTGCCTGATGTCTTTGTTTATGTCCCTCCACAGCTCCACTACACAGCTGGCCAAATGGGGTGCCAATGCTGCAGGATGATAAAGAGGTGAGTAATTACCTCTGTTTTGTTTTGGGATCCTTTTTAAGAGAAACTGACAGGACACAATCTTACAATCACTTCATTTAACTGATATATGATTGGTTCATTCAAACTCCATTTCTTTAACTTTCCTCTAGTGACATCTAGACGGTTTTTGTTTCATGTTTGATGTTCACCCCAAGACATGGAGGTCTTTCAGTTGTGGTACTCACTAGATTGAAGAAGTATAAATAAAGTATAACAAGGGATCCAAAAACACTGTCTCTCCATTTAAATAATTTACAGACCTTACAGTGAACATTTTTTTACTAGAAAAACTTTATTAGATTTAGCTCCACTAAATGCTAGCAAGCTAATGTGCTAAACTACAATGGGGAACATGATAACTGCATTTTAGCATTAAACACTTTGTCCTTCTGATAAATCAACTTATTTTAAGCGCTAATTCGTGTTAGCTCTTTATATTAGCATACGATAAATATCCAGTCCGCCTCCTCACTAACAGCCTCTCACTAGATTTCCTTATCTGCAGGTGAACAGGGACAATTCAAATGTCTCCTTGCCCACATAATGATTTCTTGTCTCGTTTCATGCAGATAGTGAAGGGTCCATTTATAATATGTCTGCGCTGAGCCTCACGTGGGCTCTTTGTGCAAACTGAGTCAATATGCCAATAGCCATCACCCTTGGTTACTGTATTTCCTTGCAGGACTGTCTGCTCATTAAAAGCCTACACGGCATCGTTGTCAGGGTCTGACATCACGGTGCTTTTTGAGGTGAGCGAGGAGATAGAAACGATTTTGATTGCAGATTAATGAAAAGGCACACTGGGATTCGCATACCACAGCCGTAATCCCCCTCCTCACTTTTTCTTTCCTTTCCCATGTCAAAGACACACATGTGAATGCTTGCGACACACACACACACATACCTCTGTTATTGTCTGGAGTGTCACATTTCTGGGCTTAGTGGTGTTTAGGGTTGGGCAGGGTGGGCTTTTAGGTTACTGGGTCAACAATTCAGTCTCTGTAAGCTGACACATTCCAGGCTGATGCATTTATTTTGAAAAAGAAAATATTTGAATGTTTTCTGGGACGCTGGCAAAAAGAAATATCTCCAGAACTAGTTTTAATGTATATTTGATCCAAAACAATAAAAACAGTGAGTCTTAGCGGTCAGAATTCTTCACATTTACCACAAAATATGACATTTGGACACGTGTTGCTTGACCATATTTAAAGGCAGTGCATGAAGCCTCACCCCAAACAAGCTAAAACAGAGGCCTCACTAACCATTTTTAAATGTATCAAAAGTTTTTTGTGAGAGCTCGCCTTATGTTGGATATTTCCTTTTAACTTGATAGTAATTATATTTTCATTGTAGCTTTACCAATGTTTCCTTTGCTTCTGGCTTAGAGAGACATTATACACCCAAATGAATGTGCCTATCAACCCAAAGTATGGGCTTTTTGGGAGGGGGGCTTAAAGAGGGGGGCGCTAAAACAGAGCATTTCAGACAGAGGGTGAATACAGGTATACTCAGATTGAAACTATGAGAAGAATAATGTGTTTTTTGAACATTACTAGCAACAAAGCGTGCAAGTTATGCCCCCCTTTAATATGAAAATGTACTCACGACAAAAATGTTCATCGTAGGCTAAAGTTGTTATAAAATCAACTTGTACCACTGACTGCATTATATTTCAAACCATTATAATCAGCTTAGATCTAATGCTAGACGTGAGTTGGCATTGTGCTCACATACTGCAGGGATGGCTTATCGTTGTATTAGCTCAAAGGAATCTTATCCTATAACATAATCCCAATTTGACCTAATGCAGTAAACGGCAACTTGTCTGTCGAGCTTTCGCAGTTAAAACATATGCAAATAACATCTTCATCGAGGACGGAGGTGCATCCTATAAAAAGAACTCTTTAACATAAGCAAAACACCACAGAGAGGGAATCCCGATGGAGAGAGGAAGGGGGAACTCCCAAGAACCAAATGCATCTACTTATATGCACATTTGAACAGAGCAGCTGCATTCCTCTGAGTGACTTGTTGTCCTCAAAATGGTTATGTTTAGGTCTGATAACTACTGTCACTCTAATATTCCAAATGTATTCAACCTTCCCAAGCATTTCGAGGCTTTTGTCTCCACCACGTAACAAAAAGTGTAGCAGAAAGGCTGCTTCCAGACAATAGCTTGGAGAAAGAAAGTGCTTCCTCCTGGCAGCCTATGTCCAGCTTCATGACTCATTGGTCTTATTTTTGTATTACACCTTTCATGTGTGTTTGTTTGCGTGGCTTGAGCCTCAAATTTCACCTTGGCTCAGCGGCGGCGCTGCCCAGGAGCGAGAGAAATGGAAAAACATTCATTTTCTCAGCTCTCCACTGTGAAGGCAGACAGAGGGGAGGATGCAGGGTGAGGGAGCGAGAGGTGTTTAAGTCAGAGGGGGTTTGCGCGTGTGTGTGTGTGTGTGTGTGTGTGTGTGTGTGTGTGTGTGTGTGTGTGTGTGTGTGTGTGTGTGTGAGTGTGTGTGTGTGTGTGTGTGTGTGTGTGTGTGTGTGTGTGTGTGTGTGTGTGAGCTTGTGACTAGAAATGTGTAGGCGGTGGATGGTTGTGTGTCTGCTTACCAGGAGTGGAAAAAAAGCTGTTATTGAGTCATTTTATATATCTGAAACTTTTCAATTCTCCTTGTTAAGTACAAGAATAGTGTGAAGTCAAAAAAGAGGTGTTGAGATTTTAAAAAAATACAGTGAGTCGAAAAGAAAAGGACATCTTGAGACAGAATGATAGATGGAAAAACCCGAGTGAAGGCGCTCAGATCAAGGAGAAGTGAAGTGCTAAGGGACGGTAGACGGCGAGCTGCAACTAGAATAAAGTGCCGCTGAAAGAGAGACAAGGAGGAGGTTAGAGCGAGGCTCCTGGAGAGGTGTGAGATGGAGGCAGCTCTGCCGGGGTTACGACTCTCAAAACAAATGAAATGACAAAACATGAGGCTCTCGCAGCAGGTAATGTCTGACAGCCTGTTACTCTGTCAACAAAATAAAGCCCACCTGCCAACACTTTAATACCTGTCGCGCTGTGTGAGATCTTGTGTTTATACCGTATACCCTTGTAGGAAAACTCTCCATCAGATAGGGCTTGAAGCACTTCCTTGTTTGCTTTGTATTCATCTGATTGAGAATGAAAACATTGTTATGAAATGCCCTCTTCGCATAATAAGTGCTCATTATTTTTAGAAAACAAAGTGTGAATTCATTTCCATTTATTAGCTTTTTTTGGTTTTATTTACTTGACTACGCATAATCAGCTGCCATTTGTTTTGTTTTATCCAACAGTTGTTTTCTAAAACTGTTAGACAACCTTTTACTTTCATTTATTTACAGTAAATAATTTAGGAAGTTGGGTGATTTTCTCGTAGATTTCTATACAAACTGATATATTTTTGCAACCAGTGATGTCGCCCCCTGCTGGCCATTAGTAAAAAAAAACATTTCGGCACTACCTCATTGTCTCCACTTTTCAGAACCAGAGGTGGCCACCTACTCTGACCCTTTTGAAAGGTTTTGAAAGTACTTTTTTCTGTCTGTCTCTCCCAGCTACATGTACGACCCCTCGGTGGCGGTGGATGTGAGGAAGACGGACTCTGCCAGCAGCTCGCTCTACCAGCCGCACCAACTCCCCCGCTGCGACCCGCTGCAGAAGCAGAAGCAGGGCTTCAACAACCTGGGCTACAGCAAGTCCAACGACAGCACGCTGAAACTGGAGGTGGACAACAACCACGTCAACCACAGGCTGCACTCACAACCCAACGAGCCCCACAGGCAGGCGACAGATGGAGGTCTGTACATCATCCAGCCAGAAGCTATGGGACCCAGGTGGGTGATGCAGGAAAGAGGCCAGAGCCAAGTCCCCGTTTACCCCAACAGACAGGAGAACCAGAGGAGCTTCTCCGAGCAGGAACGCCATGTGACGAAGAGCAGGTGGGACAACGGCGTAACGGAGTGTGTGATTGGCAGAGAGAGCCTGTCAGCAGACGAGATAGACGAGGGAGTGGGCGGGACTCCGGAGTACCTGTGTGACACGGGGGACGAAGGGAGCGTCCTGTCGGTGGACCTCCAGACCAGCACCACCAGCCTGTCCTCCGCCGACACCAGGGACGGGCTCCGACTGCCCAAGGGTCTGGACGTTTCAACGGTGGAGAGCGGGATCTCGGTGATGAAGAGCGAGGACGAGGAGGAGGAGGAGGAAGGGGAGGTGCATAGCGTCATGGACTCGATGGTGGCAGAGGCTCTGGCTGCTCTAGAGGCTGCGACGGCCGGGGAGGAGTACGAGTGACAGGACACCTCACAAAAATGTCCCAAATTGGGATCAATTAAGTACTCTCTTATCTCTTATCTTATCACCAAAAAACTCACGGACCTGAATGCAACTTGACGGTGTGTTCAAAACCACCACGTAACTTTAAAGATCATGGAACGAATGAAGGAAAACTAAATAAGTACAGATTTATTTTTGAACTCAAAATCTTGTATATTTTTTTATTTTGGACACTTTGACAGAAGATGTTTGCCTTGTGAAGAAGGCAACTTTTCAAATGCCACGAGTGAGAGGTTTGTAGACGATAGATATCAGACCTTTTAAATGAAGTGTGTTTAACACTCCACAGTCCTAACATGTGCTCAATCACTGCTTTGCCATGTCCATACTGCCCTTTTACAGGTGGATGTTTGCTTCATTCTGGAGCATAGCTATGCTAATTGCTAGCATAGAGCTAATTGTGAACACACAGTCCTTGCTTGCGGTCCCTTCAGGAATCTCGCCCTCGTTTCACTGAGCAGGCGAGAGAGGAAAGGTCATCGCATGTTTTTTTTATAACTATGTTAATGTCTTCGGTTTGTATTTATAATATCCTCACTTACATTGATTTATTCTGAGAAGAAACAGGATGGAGGACGAGGAAGCGGTCCTTATTTATAACTTTTTGTGTCATCATTAATTCCGTCATAATTAAGCAGAATGAATATCTACTTTGAAATTTAGGAAGATTAGTTTACACACTGTTGTTACATCATCACATACATGTACACTGACAACTCTTAGTTTTTCTGTCAATGATGTAACTGATTGCTCAACATTACAGAGTGGGACCACTTTAGTTTCCGCAGCCTTTTAACCTTAGCTTAACGAGAACCATAAAGCAGTTTCGACAGAGCCAAGTTTTTTAACGATAGCCTGCCAGACAAAACCTAAAATCCCAGTCAGAGAGATAACGGAAACCGTGACGATTTTCCTCAACTTGCATCCTGCACTAAAATACGTTGTTTTGAGCAAGCCAACACTTACAATACACAACATTTTACGTTTTTTTCCCCGACTAGCTCTGTTTTTTCAGGTCAGGCTTTGTGTTTCTAGCTGGCCTATGACATTAGTTCAACCTGCAGCTTGGTTAAGTGCCTTATAAGGAACTGATTGAGGTTAGATGGTGAGCGTGTGTTAATACGCTGTTTTGCTCATTGAAGTTCTGAGTTCTGCGACTCCCCTTATCACTCATTGTTTGCCTGCCAAATCATTTCTACTATATTTGTATTGTAAAATAAAGGAATTGACTTTAAACATTTGCAAGCTGTGATGTACTTTGTGTGTCCAAAATATCCAGTATTTTCATGTAGTATCATTAGGTAGTAGGGTAAACGGTGCAGAAAGGCTTTAAAGCTAGTAGTTTGCTAGATTTCAGACTCTCCGGTAGTCCCTGGCAGCGCGCCGGACATTTAAACACATCTTCATACAGGCCGAACGGTGGTACTAACGCTTCTGTATCAAGTCACCTAAAGCCATTGGCCATTTTTCCCATTGACTGACATTTGGAAAGAGACGTTTGTAAATCAATGCTTCAGTTTTTTGTGTTTTTACACCAACTCCCCGGTACGAACACTTTAATTGCCCTTATTTAAATCATTAGCGCTAAAAGCTGAATCCAGCTATTGTCCTTCTCCATTCATTAGACCGACCCAAGACAGGATTGGAGGCGGGGCTTAAGGACAATTAAAGTGCCCAGTTGGCAATCTTAAGAACAAAATGGGTAGTTTAGTTATTGAAAGTTAGGCTGTATCCAGTATAACAAAAAAATATATATCCATGGTGTTCCTTCCCTTCAAAGGTCAGCTTGTAAGCACATATACTACATATATATATATATAACTAGACAGCGAGAGAGGAGATAGAGAGAGAGATAGATATGAATATGAGAGAGAGATAGAGAGAGATATATAGATATATATATTAGATATATATAGATATATATATATATAGATATATATATATATATAGATATATATATATATATATATATATATATATATATATATATATATATATATATATATATATATATATATATATATATATATATATATACACAGCATATAGTATTAGCTGTGTGTCATTTCTCCTGCTTCTAAGCTAGAAGAGCTTGTCCTAAACTTGACATTATATATTCACTTGATTACAGTGTTGCATATTTATTAAGTTGTTTTAAATTGTCTTCCCTAATAGTGTATTAAATCTTTACATCTTTTAAAAGCAGGCCCTTTTTAGAGATGCTATGATTCTTCATGACAGCAAATGCTTGTTTACTAGTGCTTCCTTTCCTCCCTCTCCATGAAGTGATCGCTGAGGGAATTGAGAGTTTAAACCTTGCCATCGCTGCAGTTAGAGCCTCGGTGTGCGGCGTCCAGGGCCCCGGAGCCTCGGATAATGAACACCTCAGGGCTTTTCACTTGAACCATTAACACTCGGAGTGAGCACCTTGGAAACTTCCACAACAGCCTGAGTGACAGAGAGAGTCCTGCTGCTCCGGCTGAGTGAGGCTCCTCGCTGCAGGAGAGGCTGTTCCTGTCCGTCTCCGTGTCCATGTCAGAGCCGGAGGAGGAACACAGCCCCAACGACACCAAAATTAGACCCTTCTTTGGACATTTATCTATTCATCTCACCCACTCTCTTCTATCTTCATCCCTCTTGCTCTCTGCTCGTCACGATAATTGCTCTCCATGGGTCTCACAATTACAGTCTTCCTCTCTTAGGCCTGAAACTTGGTTCTCTATCTGGTTGTTTTTGAATGATTTTCACAAGGTGTTTTAGGACATAAGGTGTTTTGAACACTCATTTGTCAAATAGCCTTTGCAAATTGCCCGTTTAAACTTGCAAAAATGTCCCTTTCATATATTTTCAAACACTTTTTAGAGTGTGTTGTTTCTTCTTCTGGTTCTGAATGCACCAAAGTGTGTGTGTGAGTGTGTGTGAGAGTGTGATTGTCTTGTGAAATGAGGAAAGAATATTTCCATATATCAATGGAGTGTGATGACAACAGGATCTGCTGCAGAGTTCCTGTTTAATCAAACCAGTGACTCATCAATTTACAAAACAACAGAGCCGAGCTTGGCATGTGCGTCACCAGATTACTTTGATCCTTCTCAAGGATTCACATAAAGGTAGATCAGATATAAATAGATAAGCAGCTGGGGAGTTATTTTGGCACTTATACAAAGGTTTGAATATAACTGGTGGGATAAGCATTGAATTCAACATATGTGATGAATCAACAAATATACCAAGGTCAAATTAAACCACACTTCAGTTTGGTTTGTGACTTCTTCTTCTTCTTCTTCTTCTTCTTCTTCTTCTTCTTCTTCTTCTTCTTCTTCTTCTTCTTCTTCTTCTTCTTCAAAAAAGAGGAAAATATGCATCTAAAACATGTGACCACCACAGAAACTAATTTTTGTTATTTAGGTGCAGGATTTCATTTCATTGTCATTTTTGCAGTTGTTTTTCTAAGGGTTAGAAAATGGTATCCACCAGTAGGGCTGCTCGATTCATAATCTCGATTATTTGGGTCAATAATTGTTATCACAATTATTAAAAACGATTATCCATTTACTTTGAAAACATCCATTTATTTAAAAAGTTTTTGAAGAGTATGTTTTTGACAGTTGATTACCCTGAACTTTAAGTATAATTCAACTGAAAAACCAATTAAAAAAATTAATTAAAAAATTAAATAAATAATCGTTTTATTTCGGTTATGTTGTTTTCATAATCGTTGCAAGCCAAAATCGTAATTGCGATTAAACGATTAATTGAGCAGCCCTATCCACCAGTGAGGAAGCATTTGATCTTTCAGCATGTTTGAAATTATTAAAATCATGACTAAATTACACGATTGATCCTTATATGAAAGACAGAAATTAAAAGCTCCAAATCCATGTTGTTCTGCAACTTGTCCAAATTAAAAGTTTTTTTTTATTAGTATGTATGCATGGGGGAATTGAGTTCGATGAGCCTGTAATTATATAAAAAGGTGTCCACCCATGCATGCGTTTAAGCTAGCATATCCCATGAAAAAACCTCAACAAAAGGGTGTGTTTTTCTCTCAATGCTTTCTGTCTTTTCTATTTTTTTCAGAAGGCCAGCACACTAACAACTCAGCTAAGTGCAAGAAGTCCAAGAACATCCAATCTAGGACACAAAGCCTTTTGTATTTTGGGTATTTCAATGAAAAGCTCTGGCCCTCAGACCTTCATCATGGCAAATGTTTGACCAAGTGGAATCTCAGGGCTGTTAATGAGCACACAAACAGACCACACCTGTGCTGGATTACAGAAGCACACATGGGAAATGTGGTCCACGATTGTAGCTCCTGAAGGTATTACAACAAAAAATACATCAGTACAGAAAGAAGAAAACATATCAGAAGTCCTGCTCAGTGTTTTTGAACCTTGGGAACAACCCTGTGAACAACATTTCCCATGTAGCCTTGCATGAACACGCACAGGTGTGCTCTGTTTGGTGTCGTTAGCCTTGATGAACGTCTGAACACGGACACCTGGGCTTTTCTGATTGAACACCTGGTATTCGGACAAGGTTTCGGAGTCTTACTTATTAAATATTTGATGTTTTATTGTCCAAAAAACTAATAAAAACACATATATGAGCCATACTGTTAAGTATTTGCCTACGTTGAACACATCCATTGTAGTTTAATTTGATTCACTTCCACATACAGCCTGCCTTACATTGACCTATTACATTTAACAGTTCCGAACAAATTGACTATTTACTAATATTTTATCCTCTTTTGTTAGAACCTACAGCGTCCAGCTTTTATAGAATATTTCCAACCCTTTTTTAAATTGATATCTGAATAAAAATATAATTTACAACTATATGTACAGGCATGAATAAGCAAAGATGTGGACTATTTTATGGCATTTACAGTTAGAATATTGACTTGTAAGCAGGATATATGTCATGGCCATTTCTACTGATCATAATTCCATTGTTGAGGTATACTAAAATAGATTTATATTGTGCAATTTTTCAAACTCACATTGGTTTCTCATACAGCATCTCTGTAAAGTATGTGTATTCACCGGTATTCACTCTCTGTCCTAAACGGCTTGTTGGAGCTCCTGCCCCCCCCCCCTCGTGAGCCCAGTGTGCTCTGATTGGTCGTTGAGAGGCTCGTTGCTGTGATCTGCTGCGAGGAGCGGACAGGCTTCCGGGTCGGCGATACAGCGAGGACAAGCAAAACTCATCCTGAGCACACACAAACACTCACAGCCGAAGTAAAAACAATAAGTGTGGCTTGATATTGAGTAAGAAAAAGGTTTATAACGCTGTGAGAATGGGTCTGCGGAGAGTATTTCTCCACGATCCCAATGTAGCAGCCCGAAAAACGTTTACCCATTTAAACAGTCATGGTAGATACCTTGTTTGATTTAAACATCATAAATACACAAACAACAATGAATACTTACAGGTTGTGTACCCGAATCTCCCGCTGGTCCAAACAAAGTAGGAACAGCATCGTTCTTCAGTGCCCTACGCTGTACATATCCGGCATGAATCGCTGAAAGGTTTGGGAAGCTTTGTTACGTGAAATGCTGGCAGATGGTGTGGCCTCTGGGTATTCACACGTCACAGTACCCAGGAAGTAAACAATGGAAAATGAGAAATCTCCAACGAGGCGTTTTGGGGCAGCATAGACTGTGTTAGAGTTTTACTCGCTACAGGGTGTACTTTGAGGGTTTGTGACTCTGCAGACCGTTTACATGCAGAAAAACCTTCATAACACACAAGGGGACGGGTAATAACCGGAAAAGCATGACATGGGACCTTTAATGTTTTGCTTTGGTCTTTTCACAGGATGAATCTATAGCAAAATATATAATATTACCAATATTCCTGTACGAAAGCAGGAAATGGAGTCCTCCTTTCTATCTGGTTTTCCATTATTAAGTGACCTCTCAGTATCTGTCACTGCTGCTGTCATCCCAGTGACTCTCGGTCATCAATCCCCCTCACCCCGACTCCAGATAACAGCACAAAAGTTATTTTACAACAAGCTAATTTGTGGCACAACCTGCTGCGTGTTGAACGTGCACGGAGGCAAATAAAGAGCACTTGTGTGTCAGATTCCTCCGTGTTGTTTTATGAGGTCCATTAGGCAGCCGGCTGTAGAGTCCCCAAGGTGTGTGTGCACTCAGTTAACATGTTTGTTTTTCTCAAGGCTTTGTTGGAGTTAATGATGTCACGCTTAATTGTGGCACACACACACACTTCATCGTCTCAGAGGAATGGGTAGGACTGTATTTAATGAAGAAATATCCACCTTAAACAGGATTATGCTACTGATTCTTACTCTCTTAGACACATGAATCAGTGTGGTTATTAAACTGTACCTTTCCCCAAAAGAAAACTAAGTAGTCCACACTGTTTTTGAGAATTAGCTAATGTTTTCGCATTGGTTAAATATTAAAAATGTCTCCCAAGAAAGTGCATTTGATTCAGTGGTGAATGCTTAAATGACCTAGCCTAAAGAAAACACTAGTAGAGAATATCATTAGCTTAATATAGTAACATTTGTATAGCACTATCAATACAAAGTTACAAAGTGGCTCGCAGAAAAAGGTGAAATCATTAACAATGTCAAACCAAAAACAATAAAACCATAAATAAAAAGACCGGAATAAAGCAATCAATCGACTGTGAAAAAAACTTTGTATGAAATCTGTTTTGAGGCGTTATTTTAAAAAAGGTATTGCGTTTATTGTCCTAGTTTGTTCACACCAGACACAAAGCAATTTGTTCTCGAGCGAGTTTGACCACGCCCTTTTTTATGTTAGCATTAGCACTTATGCGTCACTCAAACAAAATAATTCCCTTGCTTGACTTTCTTTTCATCTCTTTTTGCTCAAAATACAAAGAAATGGCAAATTACACAAATGTCATATTATTTTCAAATTGGAAGAACGAAGTACTAAAACTTAAGCTACGTTTGCTTATGTCGAGAAGCTAGCAAGGGTGTGGTAAAAGTATCAAACATAAAAAAACAAGCCTAGTTTGGCCAGCCTATTCCTATTAAAGTAGCTAACAACACTAGCTCCTATTTCTGATACTTCTAGCAAGGAAGTTGCCAAGTAGCTACGCTAACAGCCCGTCCAAGGCTACGCTAACAGCCCGTCCAAGGCTACGCTAACAGCCCGTCCCATCAGGCCTCCCTTCACCAAAACCACACCCCCAAATTGATCAATTCGAACAGAGTTATCATAATTATGTGACAGCCTCAGATACTGCAGGTTTTTCTTTTTGTTGTCCTGAAGGAGAACTTCCACAAATATATATTAAAAAAAAAAAGAATATGACCCAGTAGTTACTTTTAGCCTATTGTACCGATTTTCTCTTCCGGGTTACCCTTTCCTTTACTTGACAGAAGCTCCACTATCACTGAAAACTCTACTCAGATTAGTGCATTGTGGCTTTTGGGAATTGTATTTTTCCCATTATAGAGGGAGCAAAAATAATCAAGGGTTTAAATCTTAACTAGCTAACTGTGCTCTTAATACCAGACCAACTAACTCCTGCTGTAACTGTGGTTAAGATATATTGTGTAAGCCGTTTTCCCTGGTGTAGACCATGTGATCAGAATGGAATAACACTGTTTGAGTTTAGGAAAGGTGGGCAGTGAGCCATTTGAGAAGGTCACTGCGTCTACAGGTCCTGTTGTAGTTCGAAAGGTGTTAAACATTGACTAGACTTCCTCCCTCTGGACCCAAATATTTCCCTTAAAAAAGAAAAAAAACTCTCCTCTGAGCCAGAGCTCCATCCTCCTGGCCGATATCCAGCGGCAAAGATAAGATGTAGGGCACTTAGCCTGGCATCGGCATGGGAACTGTCGCCTGGAGGCCTGAATAATTCACAGCCTCAGATAGATGTACTGCTTATGGAGTCATGCAAAAAGGACCGTACAGAGCTTTGTTATAATCTATGCCATTTCTTATGTGCATAGCTAATTTCCTCGTGGAATTCTTGTAGTCGCTCTAATGTAGTGTGAGAAACCTTTCATAGCACAGAGCAAGTAAACACGCAACTGGAACTGGAGTCAATATTTGCACCAGGTTATTTGTGCTGCCTATTCATGTCGTGCACTGTCAAGCGCCTCTGTTGGACAGGTTTAACACCCCAAAGCTATCCTGTGTGTGTGTGTGTGTAAAAGGCAGGTTTGCTTTGAGACTAAAGATATGGGTGGGGTCCATCACCTTGTGTGCTATCAGGGTTTATTTCCCACCGTATGTAAATGTTTCTTCCTCGCGTTCAACACTTCCCACCAGCAAGAAACCGCGTGTCACTCTTTTTTTAACACGTCACCCGAAATTAACCGATTTGTATCTTTTCTTGGACCGATCTATTGTCTCTTTAAGGTCAGAGACTTCCTGCTTGACTGATCTTGATAAGACTGAGAAGGTCAAGAAGAGACGAAAGTGTCAAGGATTGTTAATGCTGGAAACACCTCTCCGTCTCCGTCTCATCTCTATTACCTGAGAATAATATGATAGAGAGCCTGAGGTCGTCGGACTACCTACTCCAGATGAATAAGACAAATCATCTTTTTATTACGGCGGGGAAAAAGAAGGAGGGTGCAGAGATGAGGGAAGGAAATGAGAAAGAATAGAATATGAAGATGGATGGTTCGCTCAGGAGAGGGGGGGCTAGTGGTCAACAATAAAGAGACTTATTCCTTCATTGATATGTATTAGTCGTCTTTATTTTCTTCCTTATACAAAGATAAAAACACAGCAAACTGTCCCAAAATATGAATAACAACATGTATAAATATTTTTTTTTAAATGAGACACAATGAAATGACAATATGAAAGCATTCCTAAAATTATACTTTTTGATCATCTGTGAAAATTATATTGTTGGGTCCAAAAGGGCTTCTCTATTAATGTCATATCGTACTTCCATAAAGAACTCGTGTTTTAAAAAAGATTGATAAAACAGAAAGGCCGAGATTTACTGAACTTTGGTATCTTTTGTGGATTTAGTTTGCAAAAGACTTAATCCTACATTTACCATAATGCAGAAACTATTCCTGGTATTGTCGAGACCAAATCCAAGCTAAAAAAAAGTGCTGGACTTCCTCAGGGGGACATGCTCAATGTATGCTGTAAACAGGCACTCAGTCGCTAACACGTTAGCATAGACAACTTTATGAGCTGATAAAGAACACATAAATAAAAAAAACAATGGAGGTGGGTTTAAATCTTGAGTAATAGCTCTCTGACACATTCAAAAAATTACAAATGGAAAATCGAAACTGACCTGCCTGAGTATACAGACTTTAGGTTTTTTGGTAACGTAAACACACGCTGTCCCTTTAAGAAAAAAACACCAAGAAGGCAGCCATGTTGGATAAAGCTAATTTGTTGTTCAACACAGAATACTGCACTCTCTTCTTTAGTAGTAGAGTGTGTCACTACCCGATCTGTCCCCCTGCCCGATCTGTACTGCGCATGTGCGAGATGGTCCGCCATATTTGACAACTACATACGGCAACTCTAATAGGACACCTTACACAGTGGCTTTTGGCAAAGCAGAAAAAGAACCGAGAAAGATGAGTTATTGTTATTACAACGTGACTTCACTATTATTTAACAACTCTTTTTATTGGGTTCTTTTATTTGGGGTTAAATACATTGTCAGAATAATTGAGACATGGATTTAACTTCTGTTAGACAGCTATATGCCATACATTTTTGCATACATGCACAGTAAATGTTTATTCAGTATGATAGCTGTCTAACAGAAGTTAAATCCATGTCTCACTTATTCTGACAATGTATTTAACCCCAAATAAAAGAACCCAATAAAAAGAGTTCTTAAATAATAGTGAAGTCACGTTGTAATAACAATAACTCATCTCTCTCGGTTCTTTTTCTACTTTGCCAAAAGCCACTGTGTCAAGTGTCCTATTAGAGTTGCCGTATGTAGTTGTCAAATATGGCGGACCATCTCGCACATGCGCACTGCAGATAGGGCAGGGCTGCAGATCGGGTAGTGACAGCATGGAAGATAAGGCACGTCATGTTCACACCCGCTGCTAATCTACAGGCTACTTCCTGTTCCTGTGATGCTATCAGAGGTCGCTCCTACTTCCTGTTTGAGAATGGCGACCCGTAGTTAGGTCTTGGAATGGCTGTATCTGTTTTTTTGGGCTTATCCGTTATTTTCCTCCACTTACAACAACATAAGAACACACATGATCGGCGTATTGAGTCACCTTAGTTCATCGGGTTCATTCAGGGTCCCTTGACATTAAGCAGCCGCCCTGCTTAGACGCTCTTGCGCAAGGCACTATTTTGAAATCTTTTTTAAGAGGAAAGTGTATCACACATAGACACACCTTACCCCCTTTTCTCCTTGTAAAATGGGGCCACTCTTGCCACTGTGTCCACCATCAGCAGCTCTTTTGCCCCCCATGGAGCAGGAATGTGGGGGGGGGGACTCCCTGGTCCACTTGCCCCCCCCCCCAGCGCTGATGATTTATTGTTCTTTTTTAGGGTTTGGACCTGATGTTCTTCCTCCCCTGGATCCTGCTATCGGTTCTCTTTGTCCACGTCGTCCTTCTCCTCCTGTAGACGGTAATACGAGGGGGTTTAATACGGATAATAATCATGAATAATCTTCAGATTAGGCGTGTTCTGCCATCAGGTTTGTTTACTTTCTTGGGCTGAAGGCCGTTTTTCTTTCTCCCACAGTCAATACGGGAAAGCTAAGAGTCAATATGTGAGCTGAGAGCATGGAACGAGACAAACACGGATGTTAATGTGTTTTAAAGCTGTGATTGGATTCTTTGCATTTGTACCATCGATAGAACATGAGTGTTATGTTTCTCCAACTCAAGGTTGCCGAGTTCCTGTCTTGCTAAAAGGACTTGCTGAACAACAAAGCTTTGTGTTTTCTCCTAGATGTTTTGTTGTCCAAATTGTTCGAGCTGTTCTCATTTATGGAGTTTTGTTAAACATGTCATTTGAATATATTTGTCGAAGCCATGTTACAAAACTCATAAAATAAAGAAAGCGTCTAAATATGGTTTGAGAAAAAAAGACTTTCCTACGTTAACCAACTGTAGATATGTTTTATGTTTCCTTTCACAATAAAAGCCTAGCATGCTTTCACATTGTAACGGAGGTGATCTCTGGGGCCGTAGATCTCAGTCTCCGTTACGTAGGATATAGCTTCATTATTGGCGAAGCATATTAATTTGTTCCACGCTAAAACATTGCACAGGAAGCATGTGATTATATGTCATTTATGCATCTATTTGTCACGATCTGTCTGTTTTAGTTTGTCTGTCTGTTTCCTGTTTTAGTTTGAAAAGTGTTCCCCCTCCCGTCTTGTCTGTTGCTGGTGATTGCGTTCACCTGGGGCCCTGTGTTTTCTCCTCCCTCCCCACCTGTGTCTTGTTGGTTTGATTAGTCCTGTGTGTGTGTGTGTGTGTGTGAGAGAGTGTGAGTGTGAGTGTGAGTGTGAGTGTGTGTGTGTGTGTGTGTGTGTGTGTGTGTGTGTGAGAGAGAGATCCTTGTTGCTGGTGACTGTGTTCACATGAGACAGTAATATTGAGGCTGTGTCATGTACCACAAGGAGTAATAAATGCCCACACCGGGTTGTATTTGGACGTTCTGCCTCTGCCTCCTTGCTTGGTCGGGCCGCTCAATGGTCAGCTTCACAAGCATCATAGCATTCTCTACTGTATTTGATATAGTGTTATCTATAAAATAAGGTCATTAACCTCCAGCCAAAACTGTTTGTGTGAACATTAAACGTGATGAATATAAGTAAAGCACATCTGATGACTAATACTGAGGATATGTAAGCAATGAGAGCCTCATCTGTTTTTCAGTTTGGAGTGTTTAAAAGAACCTGAAAAGAAATCCTCCACAAGGACATTTTCATTGTTGTTCGATATCTGCGTCAACAGGAAGACACAACTCTTCGTCACGCTCTTATAAACGCTTTATAGTCACTGAGGGAAATTAAGCAAAGCTGTTCATGATCACCTTGAGAAGTTCCTGTGATGTAAAGTGCAAACAGAGAGGCTTATTATTTATGCGGTTTGATTTTACGTTACTCTTTAAAATGCTCTCTTTCTGATTTTAGGAGCCCATACAATACTAATATTAATCGATTGGTAGGCCAACAGAAAAGGACATTTTATTGATAATTGATTCATGTTTTTCATTTTTCAGGTAAATAAAATAATAATTTCCTTAAAATGTGAGGATTTGCTGCATTTCTTTTTCTTCAATGATAGTAAACTGAATGTTGGAGAGTTTTGTGTGAGAAAAACACATTTAAGGAATTCACATTGAGCTGTAGTATATTTCATAAAAGGCACTTTTCCGTAGTTTTTGGCATTTTATGGACTATTTAAATCAGCTGATTAAAAGATAATTGAGAAAGCATTTAGTTGCAGCTCTGACCCATTTAAACTATATTTCAAAAAGTTGTTTATGTGACGATTTATCCCAGAATGTCACCAAGAGCTTCTCACATCACCAAGAGAGCACAGAGAAGCGATGTACAGGAATAACTCTGCCTACATGAGCAACACTGGTGTAGAGCTCCATGGGAGAGAGAGAGAGAGAGCGGGTTGGGGAAGTTTCCCGGAACACACACCTGCTGGGACTCGGAGGTGGTCCGGCTCCTAGGCTCCGCCTCCGTTGGAGACGCAGGAAGGCTCCCGTTGGAGTCCGTGCTCAGCAGCGTCCGTCTCTCCCGGGGCGGCTTTTCACACTTCGTCACCCGGAACCTGAGAGGAGACAGGAAGGGGAAAAGGTTTTGAATGGTTTTTTTGACGTTTGGGGAAATGAGAAGTACGTTCTGCAGAGTTAGCTCATTAAGACGAACTCCTGGGAACCGCTGGAACAAATGTACAAAGACACATTTTTTCTAGGTCAAAATAAAATAAAACCTCTTTTTGCTAGTTGTTTTCTTTCATAGTGGGGTGGGGGGGGGGGTATATTTGATCTGCTTTTTGGCCGTCTGGTTGAAATGTGCACTGTTGCATCTACTGTATGTATCTGACTGCTAAATTAAATTCTGTATGATTTTTCTTTATAATGAAAACTGTCAAAAAAAAGAGTGTTAAAACAAATATATAACCTAGATGAAGTTGATTTGTTGTATATTCATAAAAGTAAATATAAATAACAAACAGAAAAAGGTCCTTTAATGGATAAACTCAGCGGGGATCGGCTATTCTCATTTGTGCCACAGCTGGTTTCCACACTTTTGCTAATAATACACACACAATTACACTCGCTGTGACCTCCGCTCTACTCCTCTTTCATCCTCCCACCCACTCAAAGGCACCTGTGCACACACACACACACACACACACACACACTCACACACACAAGCTTTAATTAAATCTGCAAATGAATATTCGTATCCAGGTCATGCTGACCCTGTGCGTACGCTGCCATTCATCTCGGAGTGTAAATGAAAAGCAAACCGCTCTGCATCCCGATCCATCGCAGCGGGAGGAGACTTTCCCGGTTCACTGGTGGACTCACAAATGTTCCTTTAAATTTGAATAAATCTGAGACACAGTTTGATAACTGTATAATATCACTATATGGCATAAGTATTGTATTTTCCTAAGTTTTAAAGGTGGCATGACGGTAAAGAGATGTACATTTGTATTGTTTCTTTACCCTCCAAGTCATTATATCCACATTACTGATGATTCTTTATGATTTTACTGTGTACATATTTTATATAAAAGAGATTTGAACAAAGAAAATATTGTAAGATTTGATTTTCTACATCTCATATCCATATTATATTGTAGTTTTTATTGTTAGAGGCCAAGTCCATGCCTCCCGTTTCTTTCGGTTTACTGTTATATCCCTTCTGCTGAATGAAGTCACTGCTAATGCAAACATCTTGGCAAACAACAACAACTGGCGAAACAGGCTTTTCTTTTGAAAATAAGGTAAAAAAGTAGGTACGTTTCAAATCTGTCAACAACAAGATGCTCCACTCTCACCTGACGCACATCACACACATTTATTTTCTGCTATCAGTCTGTTTTGGGAGAAATGTCCTATTGGCCTTGTTGCCATGGTGCAGCTCCACAACACAGGTTAACCACTGAGGCTTCTCCAAAAAAAAAACATAACCCAGGCTGAACCTGCCGCATCTATTTTCCCAGGGTTCCTCCTGACTGTCCACATGTTCCAGGTGGCTGGTCTGGGGTCAAAGTGCACAGGAATGTTAGTTGGTGTAATTAAGTGTGGACTTTTAAGGTTTAATGTTTGATGGCTAGTGTGTGAACTAAAACTGTGTTCATGTGTATCTATTCAGTAAAGCATTTTCTTTTAATAATTGAATACATGTAAAATAATCAATTTCTTCCAAAAAGGAAAAACCAAAGAATACAAAAATAAGTTAATGAAAAATAGTTGTCAACACATATGAATGCATCCCCACTCACACTAGCATGTACTTGCAAAACAACCCCACCTTCCGCAGAAATTCATCGTAACTCATCTAAAAGCAGCAAAACAACGCCCCCCCCCCCCCCCCTCTTCTACTTCCTGCCTCTCTGCCCCAGACACACACACACCTGCCCACCTGCCCACAGCGAGCACCGTGACCTCTCCTGATTGGCTGCGCCGCTGCTGCTCCGGCCTCCTCGCCGACAGCCTCCTCATCAGCGGCCACTTCTTCTGGCTGCAGCGGTTGCAGATGTTCTTGTGGCCCCCGAGGCCCCCGATGGTGTGCAGGTGGCTGCAGGTGTGCTTGGGGGCTCCTGGGGGGGCACCCGGGGATATGGGGGTCAGCGGGGGGGTGCCGGGAGAGGTTGGGGTGAGCGGAGGACTGGAAAACAGAGAATTTAGAAATTAAGAGAGAGGGTTTAAGGGTGATTTAACTACAGTAATGACCCAATTATTATGATAAATGATACATTACAGTACACAGTTGCACTTTAATTATGACGTGTGTAATCAAGATGATGCTGATTGGAAGCGGCACAGAATAAAACATAATTTAAATCAGTCCCAGAGCAGTTATTATGCAACAAAAGGGGAAAACAAGACATATTTAATAGGTCAGCAGATTGTTTAAGCACCATGCAACATATTAAGATGTAAAAAAAAGAAAATTAGGAGGGGGGGGTTCCAGTCAAAAGTGAGACCTTGCCCAGACGAACATCTGACCTACATTCAGTGCTACGTTTCCGTTTACAGGAATGAATTGTAGTGCGTCCTTTATGACACATTCATATCTTATGTCTTCAAACAAACACTGACCAGTCTTTGAGAATGATTTAAAAAGCAATAATGGAGTTTCTCTGTGACACGCTTCTCTCCACTTTCAGTGTTTATCTAGACGTGTGCGCACAAAGACTAATAAAAGGCGGATTAGGTGTTCGTTTGATCTCCACCCATCGTCTTCTTTGGTGAGAGGAACACGGTGTGCATGCTTCATCATGACCCTGGAGAGAAGCATTGTTTACACACAAAAGGGGAATACACAGTGTTTTCAGAACGTGTGTCGAGGGACGAAGGGAAAAATGAGTCACGTCTCCTTAATAAGGCGCGAGAGAAATGTACTTTTAATGTAAGAAAAAAGAAAAATAGTGATACTAAGTGGTGTGAGAAGAACTTTTACTTCAGTCAAAATAGTGATAACACAAAGTAGAAAATGCTGTACTGCAATTGAAAGGCTTGCAATCAAATTATTATTTAAAGGGGACCTATCATGCTAAATGCACTTTTGCACGTCTTTTATACATGAATATGTGTCCCCGGTGTTCCAGGGAACTCACCAAGTGTCAGAAAACACAACCCTCTCTATTTTCCTCCATACCCAAATCTCTAAAAAAGGGGCTGCAACGGATCTGATAAAGACTGATCCAGATTTGAACACTGTCCTGACGTCAGGACGGTGGCGCTACGGCTATTGGGCCAACTCCACCAATCAGGAGGAAACAGACACGGCCATTGCCGTTCGAAAGCGCTGGAGACGCTGTAGTACATATGCCAGGCCAGTAGATGGTGCTGTTCTCACTGAATCAGCCCAGAGCTAGAAATGGTCAAATTGAGCGAAATGAGGCATGACTGAAATGCATGATCTGTTTGGTATTTTGAAAAAAAAAAAAGTATAAATATGACTTGTATAGGTATGGTCCTACACTATATTATTCAAATATAGCATGATAGGTCCACTTTAAGTAAAAGTGTCATGAAAATACAATTAAAGCAATAATTACTGTTTGAGAATCTCGTACTATTGATGCATTAATGTGTTTATCTCCTAAATGTGTATACAGTACATGGACATCAGAAAATGACACCCATGAGATCCATTACAAAACCATGGGATTTATTGTGTTGCTACATCTTTTTGGAGGCTTTTCACCACACAACGCCAGAAACTACTTCCTAATATCCCCCGTAAGGTCACGCACATGTTGCTGTGTTTGTGTTTGACAAATGAATGACGCTCAGCAATGCAAATGGGTGGGGCAAACTGGAGAGCGGGAAGTTTTGTTGCTATCTGAGCTTAAATCAACTCAATTTGGTTCCTGGTTCCTCCATTTTTATCTTAACGACATATAAGGTAAAGTAATTCCAGTAGTGGCATTTTGTGGAGTGTAGTCACAGTAGCTCCATTACATTCTTCATTAATAAGTACTTCAACCTAGCGTCGGTGTTTATTAGAATAATAATAATAATGTGAATTGCAATAACGTCAAACCCCACATGAGTTGCAAGTTCAATTAGAATATACACATGATAGAAAAGGAGAATAATATTTCGGTTTTTGCTTCTTCTCTAATCTTTTACTGATCTTTTTAAGGCGGCACAGGATTTTTTTACTCCATAAAACAAAACAAGGGTGAAATAAATCCAGAAATAAGAACTGTTAGATGGGAAAGCACAAGGAGACATCGATTTGCTTTAAAGGTGGGGAACCAGTGGTGTAAACAATGTGTGACATGAATGTGAGAAGCAAAAATGGATGAGAAAATATGTATGTACAAGGTGAGGGTTCCTGAGGTATGAATCATGAGGGGGATAAACGCAGGACAGAGTGGAGATCAGCTGACGGAGGGATGGCGAGGGGAGGTTAAGCACTGAATCTGGAGCGGCAGATAGCGAGGCTTGGACACACTACAGTCACTCTCCTTCCTCTTCTTTTCTGCCTGTCTGTCTCTCTCTCCCCCGTTAAGTGTCCCATAAATTACCCCCGCCGATACCCCCCTTATTCCAGCATCTCTAAGTGATCCTCTGGCACTCTGCCCAACCTGGCTTCGGAGGAAGAAGAGCAACAGGAAGAAGAAGAGGGACAGAGAGCGATACCTAAACCTGTGCAGTATTAAAACCTACCCGTAACGCGTCTCCTCTCTTTATCTCGTTCCATTCCTTCCACGACAGCGGGAAGATGACAGGAGGAGAGACAGAGAGAAGGAAGCATACTCCGCTAACTCGATTTACTAACACTCCTCCTCTGTCACGGGCCCCTACTCCTCCAATCTGTCCCGTCAGCCCGTCTCCCTCTCTCCTTATCTCAGCGCTGAGGAAAGTGTAGACGTCTAATCTGGGCTCGTACCGTCAGCTCCTGCTCTTATGAAGGGGGGGGGGGTTGTATCCAAATGGCTAGCAGGCGGCCTTTGATTATAGATGTGAATGTCAAAATTGGAGGGAAATCAATTCGGAGGCAAATAGATGTTATGCTGGTAAAGGATGCTGGGCTTTAGATTCCTTTTAGGGCTGGAGCCAACTGCTAAAACTTCGCTAATGCACGTTAGCTTACTTAGCTTTCGGTTCTCACGATGTGCATATCTAACGATGTCTAAATGCATTTTCATTTCATTTCAAATGTAATTCTCCATCAATTCATCTTCAAATATTAAAGGTCACCTATTATGCAAAATCCACTTGTTCATGTATTTTCTACATAAACATGTGTCCCCTCTGTGGAAAGAGATTCTGAACGTTTCAGGAAAAAGATTCGCTCTCTTTTTGTCCTGATCCATTTATATAAAAACCTGTGCAATGCATGATCTGTTTGGTATTTCGAGCCAAACACTTCAGAGACATGTTTTGTATATAACTGAGAACTAGGGTAGGCGGCTGTGGCTCAGTGGGTAGAGTGCTGGACTTCGAATCAGGGGGTAGCAAGTTCGAGTCCCACTGCAGTCAGCATGTCGTTGTGTCCCTGGGCAAGACACTTCACCCCAAATTGCTCCTGTGGGGATTGTCCACAGTATTGAGTATGTAAGTTGCTTTGGATAAAAGCGTCTAACAAATGACATGTAATGTAACGTAATGTAACTATAATATATTGATGAAAAAGAGCACAATAGGGGACCTTTAAGTTCATATTTTGTTCTCTAAAATATCCAAAAATTATTCAATGTTGCAGAGAAGACGTATCAAAAGTAAACTGCTTGTTTTGTCTGACCAACAGTCTTATTGCCAAAGATTTGTAATTAACAACATATTTTATTTTAGAAGCTGGAACCAAAATATATTTGGTCTTTTTTCATGATAAAGCCTCTAGTGTTAAGCTTTTGTACCCCTACACTTACTTTCCTAAGTTGAGTCAGAGTCTGGCCAAAAATTCAAAAAAGTAAACAACTGTGCTCTTTAATAATCCAAAAACACTGATATATGGGGCAGTTGCATGGGGGAAATACCCCAGCTGTTTGCTCTAAATCAAACCGTGCCAATCTGGAAAGGTATCAGAGAGAATGTGGCCTGATTGGCTATCGGTCACTTCCTGCTCCTGGCCACTCTCACTTTTCAGCACCAACAGACTAACAGAGAGGCTTATGGTGCCATCTGCTGGTGGAGATGGGTAACACTCAACAGTTAAAAAAAGAACACACTCACCCATCAGAGTCGATGCTGGTTTCATGAACCATGGCTTTCAGCGCCTCTGAGTTTGCTGAAGAGGAAAACATAGACACGGTTATTTACACAGTTAGAACAAAGGAGAGAGAGAGAGGGGGGGGGGGGGTAAAAACACTGTTGGGGATTAGTGCAGAAAACGCTCCAGTGACTTCAAAAGCAAAGCGCTTATTGAAAGATAGCAGATAAACTCTCGAACACAATTAAATTGCAAATTAAATAAGCACAATGATCTCAGAGGAATTTAACAGATCAGAAAAAACCTTTATCAAAGCAACAAAAAACTCTGAATATGCCTTAAAGTTTTCTGGTTAATGGTCAGTAATTCGGCCTAAGGAAATGTCCTTACAGTGCACATGAACTATAAGTCTAACCAACTTCAGGCGAAGCAGCATCAACTCAAATATGGATTTACATAATTTCCTCCCAGAGACAGGATTCCCTAAGGCCTGGCTGTGATGCATTCACTGACTTCCCCTTGAGCATACGGATAAAGGAGGTTTTGCAGACCTTAGGATGAGCAGTACAGAGACACAGACATGACTCATGTTGGTAGACGGCGGTATTTTTAAGTTATGATTTCATATAAAGAAACCTCTGTCCTCCTGGTCACCCTGGATCATCCTCAGGAAATCTAGCACCGCAGGGGTTTTTACATCCTTAGTAGCTGCTAGATATGTTTAGCCTTTAAGTATTACAGACTTGCAAGTGTCATTTTATTGGTACAACGCTTCAAGACCTGTGTAACTGAGTGACTAAATGTAAGACCAGGTAGCAGTTTTGATTCATTACCAGCCGTGAGAATCAGTTAACTGTGACTTAACACATTTTACATGAGTTCTTCACCAGTTTTCTGTAAAAGTCAAAGTTACAACAGTTTAGTTTTTTTCACATGAGATACTTTTGTATTTTTGTCATTGCTTTTCTCAGTGGTTTGGTATAGACAGGGCTTAATTGCAAAAAGGCATTTTCACATGTTCTTGTGCGCCAATCAGACTTTAATCAATAATGTGGGATATGTAATTATTTAAAGAGGCCTCTTGTCAGTCGCAACTAAACAGACAAAACCGACACAATCACACAGTAAGACTTTGACCTTTTATTTTGGCTTGTTTTAGAACAAGAAAATATAACAACTATTTTTAACGTGCCATATATTTCTGGACACATTTAGTTATTTAAATTATTCCAACAGAAACCTGGCCAAATGCAGATTTAGCCAACTACATTAAACGTTCACTGCAGAAAATTGTTAACATTTTTAAATCTATTGCGTTTTTTCATCAGCTACAAAAAGTAAAATCACAAAATATATCCCTCCATCTATTGAGGGAATTACAAGAAAGCAAAAAGGGAGATGTCATTTATTCTTTAGGGGGATTTTATTTGCAGTTTTTAGTGTAATAATGCTACATGGACCTCCAATGAAAACAAGCAGCAGCACTGTGAGGCCTTTACTCTGAAGTCATCTGTAGATGGCAGCCTTCGCTCAACCATAGAGACGACTACTGCTCCTATAGACTTCTCCTTATATTTATTTATACACAAACTGCTGCTGAGAGTCACTTCCTGTTTTCCAGATAATGATTGCTATCGATCATTTTCTAGGTTGAATGTTGATTGGTTGAATAGATGTTTACTATATTAGCATAAGGACTATTTTTCGTTGTAGTTATTTTTAACCATGTCTTGCGGAGTGACGATGTGACGGTGAGTCACTCGCAGCTGACGGACAGATCTTCAAACACTGTCCTGATGAAAGCTGCGAGGAGTCCAAATCAACACAAGGTAATGATGGTCTGACACCAAAGCAGCACAATGCTGCCTTCAAGTGTCTCAAAGTAGGCTAGTCAGCTGGATAAGATGAAAGATGGATGGTAGTTCTTGTAGTTTAAAACATATTCAGGTAAATCATTTTAGCTCAACATGTGTATTACTGTTAATTAAATTGACGTCTATGATGATTTTTTTTTTAATTAAAGAAGACATTTAAACTGAAACAGCATGATGGTTTTTTGGGGGAATAACAAAATAAAAATCACCTTTAACAGAAAATACATGATTAATTGTTTATATAATATTTTTCAAAAATGTTTAGAGCAGAAATGTTTATTAATGTTGTTAAGGAAATTGTGCGATCAAATGTGTTAACTTTGCTAACCTCTGATTAGGTCATCGCTTTGGGAGTGAACCTTAAATGTATGTGTGATCAACAGACGTGTTTAGGGGGTGAGGTTTTGCATACTGTGTCTGAGGGGTATCTGTATATCCCATTGTCTTGTAGGGTGTGATGGTTTTGCATACAGTGCCAGAGGGGGTATCAGCTGGCCACCCAGAATGATGTTGTAATGTAAATCTGCTTTGATGTCCTCTTATAAAGAGAGCCTGTTTCACTCAGAACAGTACGTTCTCTTTGGAGGAGACGTCATACTTGCAAGTATAAAGATCCTTATTGCTTTTAATACGAATATTGTGTTGCTGTACGTTTGTTACCTAACTGATTATTCTCTCTAGACCACAGCTGATTTTAAAGCTGCCACGACATTGTGTATAGTTTCTCCTACGAAGACATATTTTATATTTTTACAATGGTTTATGATACCAAGAACTAAACACTTTAAAACACCTACAACATCTTTTAATTTAATGTTTATATACTGTGGAAAAACATGCTACACAGAGTGAAGGGGCGTTACTGTAAACATGCGTTCACTATGGTTGGAAAAGGGTGTTGCACTACACCACGTAACCTAAACAGGTGTGGCAGGGATAAAGTCGCAGTATAAACTTTTACAGTGTAATTGTTTCCCACTCCTTACAATGCTGTCTGTCTGCCTGCCTCTGAACCACAGACTGTATCAACTCTGGAAAGAAAAACGCTTTTTCTGCACAGCCAAAAAACCCACGTTCAGTCCGAGATCACCTGATGTCACATATTCAGACTTAAGTTCATCTCTAGGGCTGAAACTAACTATTATTTTCATTTAAATAAATCTTTTGACTCATTATTTTCTTTAATCAAAAGGTTTTCGCTCTATAAAATGTCAGAAAAAGTGAATCAGTGTCTCCAAAAGCCTCATTGTCTCGTTTTATCCAAGAACATTGAAAAACGATTAAATAAAGTAATACAAATTAATCTAATGCTTGAACCTGCAGGACATCTGATAACAAAACAAACTCTGTTCCTTTTTCAACAAAAGCATTGTTTACCTGAAACAGCAGTTCCTCTCTTTCACTAAAGTATCCATCAGCAAGGTGCCTACCTACTAACCGCATTAACAGCTGTTTCAATAGAACCGGTGTAATCTGCACTGCCAGTAAGGCATGTGTTCATTATGAAGCGGACACAATACTAGCATTGATCCTTATCTTTCCTGTCGCCACTTGTAAACTCAGCAGAACAAAGAACTACAATAACTTGCATTGAAGAGTTATTATGAATTCACCTTCATGTTTCACCTCAAGGAAATAGTTTCAATTTAGACGAATCATGCCATCAAATAGCAGCTTAGACATCGTGGGAATTCAATGGAAAACAGTGACGTTCCTGATAGTTAAAGGGGCCATATTATGCTCATTTTAAGGTCTCATAATTGTATGTTGTGCCTATACTGTGACATGTGTACATGCTTTAATGTTCAAAAAGCTCTTATTTTCTCTCATAGCCGATCTGATTGGTTAGCTGGCCGGATCTGTTATGATTCGTCAGACCTTTAAAGATGTCTCGCCCCTAAGCCTATCACGTACAATGTGTTGGAGCGCTAGCCAATGTGATGTCACTATGTTGAGGAAGTAAACAAAGGACTACGATCGAGGTGTTTTAGCCTTTGGGATTTAAGCTATTGCAGACCATTTACATGCACAAAAAAAAACCTATAAAACATATTACAGGAAAGGGAAAACCCCAAAAAGCATAAAAGGGCCTCTTTAACCACAGTCATTTTCCTTGAAATGCCTATGAATGACACACACACACACACACACACACACACACACACACACACACACACACACACACACACACACACACACACACACACACACACACACACACACACACACACACACACACACACACACACACACACACACACACACACCACACACACACACACACACACACACACACACACACACACACACACACACACACACACACACACACACACACACACACACACACACACACACACACACACACACACACACACACACACACACACACACCACACACACACACACACACACACACACACACACACACACACACACACACACACACACACACACACACACACACACACACACACACACACACACACACACACACACACACACACACACACACACACAATGTACTTCCTAATGATTTATGAGCTGCTGTAATGAGTTCATGGAAGAGGCGGAAACATCCAAACAAAGTCAAATGACAATGCGTTATCTACAGCCAGGTTTATACAAGTGGCAAAAGGGATTTATTTAGTGTTGTTGTTGGACACATACCTTCATTTTTCATGATGTAGTGGACAATCTGCCCCACTGTGTCGTTGTTTTCACTGAGGGTGTCATTCATGTCTGGAGGAAAAGCAGAAAAATACACCACATCAAATTTGAATTATAATGTATTTAGTAAGCATTTGAAATAACAGTATCCTCAAGCAGCATGTAAAAAGGAAGTCATAAATATTTAGGCAGCATATTTCCGAGTGCAGTACAGTTAAACAAACCGTATAGCCTCAAGTGTTTTGAGAGGCAGACCCTCCGGCGTAGCTTAAGGCCCCTTTAAAAAGGGTAAATGCTTAACATGCCACCCATAAATCAGAATTCAAGAGCCCTTGTTAGTATTACAACTTGACTGTACTCCCAAAGGCTGGACTGTTTAACTGGAGCAGGAATGCAGTTCATAATTAAAAATGGAAACTATGCTGCATGATGGTATGAGATAAATAAACAGAGATAAGTGAGCTAAGGTCTGCCTTTGGGCTGCTGTCAGTAGTCACTTAAATATAACAAATTGCTTCCAAAAAGAAAGACAACAATTTCCAGTGTTCACCATTATACTGAACACCAAAAAAATTATCAGCGCAGATGTAAGGCAAACAAATAATAAGTAGGCTGAGAAATTAAATAAAATAGGAAAGCACACGTGAAATAAAAACAAAAAAGGCAAAATAATGGTAGAAAATGAGTAGCAGTAGAATAAAAGTGAATCAACTTGCAGCCAGTTATACAATAATAAGCAGTAATATTGCACCTGGACAGAGTTATTGCATTAAAAAACATATTACACATATCGTAAAGTTATAGAGATATATTCAAGTATTTTGGGACTTGTCTACTGCGCACTTTTAAGTGGCATTTTTTGCAACCCTATTGTAATTCAACACATGCAACAGAAGCTTGTGTTTGTCTATTACCCAGATAAAACAAATCGCAATTATATATATCATTTAAATATTGTGACATGTTAGCAGGATCTTACCTAGTTGCCTAGGATCAATATAATATGGGATTGTTTGAGTCCTAAACTTGCAATAAGGGGCTACTTGGGGGCAGCTAATCAACCCATAAACACACACATTCTTTTAAATAAAATTGGGATATTGTCACTAGCGAATGCATTGTATATAAAGGTGACAAATATTGCTATTTTATTAGGTCAACATCAGTCGACTCAGCCAGTGATCACCATACACTCATATCCTTTAAATGAGCAATCCTAACTGACTCAACAGAAACAGAAAATCCCTGCAGCACACTCCCCCGTGAGGCACTTCCTACAACTTCCTGTTGACCACTTCCTGTTTTTATTTATGATAGTGTTACACAGATTTATGAGAGACTTCTGGCTGCTTACGACTGAGAAAAAGAGGCGGAGAATGAATAGGGGAAACCCGATCCTTACGTAACAAGAGGAGACCGGGTGTACTGAATGACACAAGCAATGTTTTCAGATGTTTGTGTTTTTTTCCATACTCTTTTGTTGCGACGTATGAGAGAGAAAGGGTTGGGCACTCCGCAGAAAGACAGCACGGGGAAAACCAGAACGCACTTATTTATTTACATTTATCCTATTTCAATACACTTGAGGTCAAAATCAACATGATTCAAGGGCGGTTTAGGCTTTTGGTCAACATTGGGAAATGATGTTCCCCATGTTGATGCCAGGAGGAGAAATGTGCAGGTCTGTAGTACAATAACAGATAAGTTAAAAAAAAAAGGCATTACGCATGGACACGAACAAATCTGGAAAGCATGACGTAAACACTTCCTTCTTTCCATAACAATCTCATGCCTGTGATTTATGACCCATGGTAGGAAAAGGCAGAGTGCTAACATTCCCTCTCTCCGTGTGGATGAGCGTAAAGTGACACAACAGAGACGAATTCAAGCCAAGGAAACTTTCTTTCAAGTTTGGAAGGTCAACTACATTCTTCGAGAGGCGGGAAAACTCAAACACAGTCGTCATCGCTATTAAGAATGATCCGCAGATTTCAAGGGAAATTAAATTAGCGCTGTGCAGAGAATGTCTTTGCCTCGCCTCGCTGCTCAACACACCCCAGTGTTGAGTCAGAGCATGAATGGTGAGAATGCCAAAACGTCTTCCTGGTTACTACCGGCCTCCACTCCTTGAAAAGACGCAATAGAGGAACTGGGTTTAGATAAGAATCAACAAGACAATGGAGAAAGAGATGGTGATGATGACTTACTGTAAATGTTAATAGGGTTTCTGAGCTGTGATTACACATGGTTTCCAGGCACAAAGGTTGAAAAACACCACTTTAAGGTCCCCTATTATACTGTTTTTCATCAATATATTATAGGTGTCAGATATATACAAAACATGTCTCTGAAGTGTTTGGCTCCAAACACCAAACAGATCATTGCAGCATCCCATAATCCCCTCTGTTTCAGCCCTGTTTCAAAAGTGCTGATTCTCTGTCTGTTACTTTAGATCAGGGGTGTCAAACTCAATTTCATCGTGGGCCACATCAGCATTATGGTTGCACTCAAAGGGCCGGTTGTAACTTTCAATCTCAATCCCAATCTTTATTTATTTATATAGCACATTTACAATACACAATAAGAGTAAAATAATAAAACAATAATTAAAAACTAGATAAAAAGCACAATAACTAGAAAGTGTTCAACTTGTATTAAAAGCCAGTGCAAAAACTTTAAGACTATATATAAATACATATATAAATATATCATATATATAAAATAATGTATTATATTACATTATTGCCTCTGCATTGGATTATTATCAGATCGGGTAATAACTTCATAATTAACTACGTCTGAAAAGCAGAAGTCTGGGGCAAATAATTGCAAGTCTCTGCAGTGTGCATGTCACAAAATAAGATGCATTGTGGGACATGTAGTTTATGGGCAACGTGCTTCTGTAAAGCGGCATTCAACCGTATAATAAACATATTATATTCTTTGCAAGCTCTTGCGGGGCCACATTAAATGAAGTCGAGGGCCAGATTTGGCCCCCGGCCCTTGAGTTTGACACCCCTGCTTTAGATGAAAATAAGGAGCCCCTCCCCACGCCCCTCTGAGAGATATTTGGTTAGAAAGAACACAATGGTGCTCTAGGAGGAGATTCAGGTGATAAGGTGGTGGGGGGTTACCTTGGTTGGTGATTGGCTAATGGTTACACAAGCCAAAACATCGTTATGACATCATAAAGTGGCCAAAATCTGATCAGCTCATTTTCAGACAGGTTTTTATATAAATGGATCAGGACAAAAAGAGAGAGAATCTTTGTTCCTGAAACTTTCAGAGTCTCTTTACACAGCGGGGACACATGTTGATGTATAAAATACATGAAAAAGTGGATTTTGCATAATAGGTGACCTTTAAATGATGGTGTGTAAAACAAACCACTACTCCTTTTATTGACATGTTCTAGTATTATGTCATTTTCTACTAGTTTTCCCAAAGACAGACGGCATATCAACATCCCTCTGCACCTTCAGTACCTGGCACACAAAACTCATTAGATTCAGGATTCAGGAATGTGGAACCAGCCTGTGAGTCCTGGAGGGAAGGTGGGAGCATCCAGTGATGTTACTGTGATATTGCTAACCTTGAATTTCACCATCACATGACAGGAAGATGGAAACCATGCAGACCAATGAGTAATTCGGAAAACCACTGAAAATAACTTGCTTCTTCTGCATTTTTCTTCCATTTAAACGCGACAGCATTAATCGTGTGACTGAACAGAAAAGGATTTGGGTTGATATTGAGAATATGTTAATGATGAACTTGAATTGTTATGTTTATTTGCTTCGGTTGTAAAGCAACGAACGAGACGAGGCGAAAAATGTATGAACCTTAAAATTGTCCTTTAATCAAATCCCTTTTTTAAATAAGTAGTTGGCATTTTTCTGCAAAAGTAATCCATGTTTGAGCCAAAAATAGATTTTTGTATAAATGTAATGTATGGTTAAACAAAATAATATAAAATATTTTTTAATTAATGTTGACTTTTTGGACATTGGATTAAAAGAATTTCTGGATGGCACAAGTCTGAAACAGCTCTACACAGCCACCACTGGAATCTTATGATATACACTTAATTAACATTCATGTAATATTAGCGTAGTCTAATCTTTATTTAATTTTGTAACCGGGCAGAAATACCAGATTTAAACAGGATGGAAAATAAGAAGAAAAGCTGCGTAGCATTAGAATGTAGATCGGGAATTTAAATATCAATGCTATAAAAAAAGCTTCAAACTGTAAAGTTATTTTGTATAACCATTGTTGCCATACATTACGTTTTAGGGAAAAAATAATAATCCTAAAAGCACATCAACATAAAATGATGTGACCTGGTTTGTTATCTTAACCATTAGCTACCAATTTATTTTTATTTGTATCTTTTCAACTTCCTTTCCTCACTGTCTACTGAGATATATATATATGATTCTGGATGAGCAATAAAAGTGGGTGTGTACTGCAATGGAAGATGGATGCCTTCAAACAATGTGCACAGCGATGCAATAAACACATAAATCTGATCAGACAGTGTCATATGTCGGACATTGCCTCATCTCCCTCCCCCCTTCATTCAGACTCCCTTACCTCCGCCCAGCTCAGGATCCTTCTCCTCCTCCTCACACTCCTCCCCATCATTGGCCTCAGTGGTGCAGCGGTAGCCCTTGCTCTTCAACACGTGGCAGATCACCACCCCCAACAGGCCCAAGAGGAAGAAAACAGGCACGAGAACGAAGGCAATGTAGTCCGTGTGAGTCGTCCCTTCTTCACCGTCTTCTTTCCCAAAAGTTGTAGTCTGACCATCTGAAGGAAGAAAGAGAGATCATGTTTAAATGTTGTTGGAACGGGACACAGTAGAACAGAGCGCCCCTGATGGCAACCTGATATCCAAAGTGAGTCTGAGGGCACATTTTGGGCCGAGCAGCTGAAAGGATTTAAATGCTCTGAACATGACAGAGATTTCATGTTCCCTTCATGGGTCAATCCAACCTGCTGCTGTCTCTGGACTCGAACTGTGTGATTTGGTGCAAGCTGTGCCACTTTTACAGCTTTGAGGACTAACTTGATTTCAATAAATAAAAATGTATGCTAATTTTCAGGTTTATATTTGTATGTTGTGCCTCTACTACTGTGACATGTTTCCATGCTTTAATGGTTAAAAGATGATTCATTTTTCTCATACTGCCTGTGCTGCATACAGCCCCTCTTTTCACCCTGTGTCTGGAACCAGAGCCCAGTCTGCTCTGATTGGTTAGCTGTCGGCTCTGTTGTGATCGGTCAACTGCTTAGACCTTAGATTATGACGTACAATGTGTTGGAGCGCTAGCCAATAGAAGCGCATGTTAGGGCTGCTCGATTATGGCAAAAAACATAATCTCGATTATTTGGGTCAATAATTGATATCACGATTATTAAAAAACGATTATCCATTTACTTTGAAAACATACATTTATTGGAGAATTTTTTTTTGAACAGTATGTTTTTAACAGTTGATTACCATGAACTTTAAGTTTAATTCAACTGAAAAACCAATACAAAAAAAAAAGTATTTCAAAAAAGAAAAAGAAAAAGTAATAATATTAATAAAAAAATAATCGTTTTATTTCGATTACGTTGTTTTCGTAATCGTGGCAAGCCATAATCGTAATTGCGATTAAAATACGATTAATTGAGCAGCCCTAGCGCATGTGTTACATATTGATGTCTTTATATTACAGAGTAATCAAAGGAGACCAGTAGAGGCGTTTCAAGCAGGTGTGTGGGAGAGAAACTCCCTCAGGGATTTTAGCCTCTGCAGACCATTTACATGAAACCTATATAACACACTGCAGGAGGGGGGAAACCGAAATGAGGCCCCTTAGCAATAAGGGTTGCAGCAGGGTTATCGATTTGTATAGTAAGTGACAGCAGTTAGCAAAAGGACCATAAAGTTTACCACTATAGCTCGAGCTATCCTCTCCCACTCCCATCTGCCCACCGGACTTTAGACCCATCAAGGTGCCACATGGCTGGGGAGGATGCTGAACTCCAAATATTGTACTTTTAATTCAACTTAAGACCATTATTTAACAGTACAAAATGTCATTTACTTTGTTTTATCTTATCATATTGTTTTAACATTTACTTCTGCCCCTTTCACACCAACGCAACTCCGGTTCAAGCTCCGTGCTAGAGCTTTTCTGGTTCAGAACCGGTTCTTCGGTTTAGCGCCGGCTCTTTTCACACCGCTCAGAGCCCGACTGGTGCTGCCGCTGCTGCGTCATGACGTCACAGTTTACGTCGCTGAGTTTCTCCCCAACGCCGGAGCTCACCTCACAACAACGGGCCGGGGACTGCGTTGCTTTTAATCATACGAAGCCAGATTAAATTAAATAACGACTTCTCCAACCTTATACTTTTCTCCAGAGTGCCGTGGTTCATTGTTTATTAATGTGTTTCAGCGGCATTTACCGACCGCTGCAGTGCTGGCCAGCTGCTCTTCCACGAGTGTATTCTCCCGTTAGCTCCGGGTTAGCTCACACGGCTCTAAAGTATTCACTGTCTGACTGTCACACAAGCAGCTGATACATATCCCCAGTTCCCCTTAAGTGAATGTGTGTCAGTCTGAATTGACGCTGTTTGGCATCACAACGCTGTTATGAAAGTTTCTCTGGTATAACATGGGTGATGTTAGCATAGCAACCGAAGCTAAACTGACTACTTGCTAAGCAGTTTTCTACAGGCACTTTTTACCGACGTATTTTTCATTATGATTCTACTTGTGATAGTCGGACATGACAACCTGTGCAGCCCATGTATTGATTCCATCCGATAGCTGCTATAATAACAAACAAAACGTCTGCCTGCTCTCCACAATGATCAATAACAGCGAACGGATGGTCAAAGTAAACAGAATCACACGAAGCCTGGTTAGTGTTGCCTGACTTTATAAAGTGTGTTTTTTTTAACAAGTGTGTGGTTGCGTTCTAGTCACTTTGCTCAGCACTACTGCTTGTTACAACTTGTATTTTGCCGTACTCGCCTTAAGTGTTAGCTCAGGTTAATCTCGCCCCCCTCCGACGTAAGCGTGACGTATGCGGTTCTTGCTTCTAGACGGACAACTTTTTGGTGCTCGAAACGAACCGGATTCCGGAGCTATGACGCTGCTCCGCTGCGGTGTGAACAGGAAAACCCGGTGCTTTTCAAGCACCAGCACCGAACCGGCCCTGAAACACCGTTGGTGTGAAAGGGGTATTAGTGTACTTATTCCTGCATTTTTACATTTTTTACAGTGTATTTTACATAATTCTTTCCTTTTTGTCTTGAGTATCTTGTGTGTTGCACTGTTAAAGGAGCTGACTGATTTCCTTGTTTAGGACTCATTTCTTGCTCCACTTTATGTCTTGGCACAGGATCAGGTCAAAGGTCAGAGAGTAGACAGTGACCTGTGCTCAGCTATAGGCTAACGCTCTCCTGGTTCCTGCAGTTGGAAACCTCGTGATGCATTCCAGCCTAAAACACTGCGGGCTTTGTCTGACTTCCTGTGCGGTGTGTGTGAGACAGAGACACACACATTAGGAGTCAGAGAAAGACACACAGAGACAGAAATGGAAGGTCGAATCTAATCACATGTTCATGGCGTATTGAAACGTACCACCACTGTGTGTATAGGCGTGTTTTTGCATACCTAACCAGGCCTCCTGATGCACACAGGCCTCCGAGCTGTCCCTTTGTCCCGCTGTCCCGATAAATACACACTGATAAAGACCTTTGTCTGCTCATGGACCGTCCTGTGTCCTATACTGTTGGGAGCTTTTACACCAGCTGGCTGCCTCACTCCCATCCCTCTCCAAATGACTCAGAATCATCCACAGGCCAATTAGCGGATTGCATTCAAAAGCATTGAAAAGAGACTAAAAGGGTTGAATAGAGTCCTTAAGGAGGATTTAGTGTTGAGTCATGAAAATCTCTTAGCAACAGCTGGTGTCGTGATGAAAGTCCTCGCAGGGACAGCCAAAAGATATCTGAGAAACACGCACCCACATGAACGGATTCACATAGTCATTATGTTGATTTATACAGTGCCAGGGATGTACTCAATTGCAATACTTTGAGTATAGATCAAAGCGAGAACAGAAGGTCACAATCAAATCACAGACTGCAACTGCAAATCAGAGCAAGGTGACGCAGACAGCCATCTTTTTTAATGCCAAAAAATAATAGAAATGTTTAAAACATGAACCAATAATGTTGGCACTTTAGCTTGATTGTTTGTTGTCGTTCGTTCACTACAGAAATTCTTAGTTGACTGACACTTGAGATGATTTTGTGGATTCATTGATTTCAATACAACTAATCATTAAAAGCACCTTTTAAAAATCTTGTATTTACCATAAATGTGCTCACAACTATCATAGAAACAAGTTGTTTAGCATGAAAAAGTATTCAAAACATACAAATCCACAGAAGTAATCTTAGTAGACCAAGACAAAAAACGACTGATTCATTCGCTAATCGACTAATGTCGCGTTTCCACTACACGGCCTCGCTCGGCCCCGCTCGGTATGGCTGGGCCTCGTTAGGACTGGCTCACTTTATGGCGCATTTCCATTACAGTTTAGGAACTGGGGCAGTATCTATAGTAACGCAGCGTAGGCGGAGCCGTGACGTGATCTTCAGAGGACCCCAGAAAAACAACACAGCCGTTAGCTGTTAGCACTCAGAGCTCACAGCTCCTTATATATGTTCAGAAACTAGACAAAAGTTAAACAAGTACAAACCACAGACTGCCTGTGTCATGGTGAATACAGTCGCTGCTTTATTTATGTCTGTATAGGCCGTTGTTGTGAGTGTGGACGGTCGGGGCATATACTGCGTTAGCTTAGCCAATCTCCATCTAGAAAAACACGAATTTTAAAAGGTTTTTCGCCTGCCGTCTGTCTGCAGACTTGACAAAGCATTAATTCATGGTTTTTACTAACCGGTATCAGTATGTTGTTACTTCGGCATCATTTTGAAACGTGTATTACAATTAAATCACGGTCAAATATGTCCATCTTGTTGTAGTTGTTGCCCCCTTGCCAGCGACGCTCTCTCTAGTTTAGCATACTCAGCCTGACTCAGCCTCGTTGTCTCTGGCCCTGGCCCCACGATTTTATGAGGCCAGAAAAACTGTGAATTAGGACCCGCCGGCCGGTACTAGGCCAAGTGGAAACGCAACCAAAGACGGGCCGCTGACGTCACAGCCCTCTTAAACCGGGCTGCGGGCTGTAGTGGAAACGCGCCATAAGATGGTAGAGCCTTTGTCAGCTTTTATCGAAATGGATAATCTTTAACTGTCTGTCATTACATTTCTGTCCATCAACTTTCTATCTTTTAGTGACTGGTTGTTTCAGCAGCAATCAATTGTTGTCAGATTTCATACATATATCATCTTTTGATTAAAGGTGGGGTAGGTAAGTTTGAGAAACCGGCTCGAGATACACTTTTTGTTATATTCCATGGAATGCTCTTAACATCCCGATAGCAATGAATATCTTAAGTGCTTTGACAAAAAATCCATAAAAAAATGTCATCTGTGGAAGCCGTAGTACTGTAAAAAGCACGACCAATCATTTTAGCCGGCCCGGCTAAAATAACTGGATGGCCTACCTGCCTGTCAGCCTTCCATCTGTGCACAAACTTATCTCGTGCCCTCATTGGTCATGTGCGCGTTCGTGTGTGTTGGAGGAGGGGCTCTGTAAGGAAGTGGCAGATTTTCTCCGGTTGTGTATTTTCAAATTCTAGCGCACTCAAGCTGGTTTCTCCGAAATTACCTACCCCACCTTTAACCTATTTATTTAAATAAATAGTGTTTTTCAGTAATGTTTCGTGTAGTCCTACTTTTAGTTAACAACTCTAAACACTGCTGTCGTTGAGAAGTTTGACTCTTTCTATTAAATGAACACACTAGTCAGGTTTATTATCAATCAAAATAACAGCGTCTACAAATAAACTGGAGAAGAAAAGTGTTCATCATGACATTTGGATGAAATATGAGAAGTGATTCTGGCAGTAAGAAAATATGTTTGACAAGAGAAAACAATATTACTCCACTTCCTCACTCTGGAGAAAAGTATATCCTGCTACAATATCAAATCCTTGAACTGAAACATCCTCTGCAGCTGAGCGCAGAAGGATAGGTCAGCATTACTCTTCTGATAGTTTCATTTCCTGCAGCTTTACGGAGGATTTACCCTGTACCCGGTTATCGACGTCTCTGCTGCCACGGCTTCTTTCACAAATTGATGTTAAGTCAATCTCTGCAAAAACACACAAAAGAGAACAATTCGTCACGTCTTTGCCTTTCCCCTCTTGAACTTTAGATGCACAAATGGTAAGCTACTTTAGCTATTAATAAAGACAAAGTGAATTGCAACACTGCTGGTGCGTACTAGGATATTTGAATCTTGAACTTTATACGACTTCTGCTCTTTCTTTGCACAAGACCATCACTCATTAGCTACAGTATCAGTGGATACAGCTATTGATCCGCAGCCTAAAGCCAAAGGTCCTCTCAGAAAAGAGGATGTGTCTTACTGCTGAGACTAGCAGACAAGACCTCCAGACTCTATAGAACCACATGCGTGTGTTTCCTGACCTTAATTCCCGTTTCATTTGAAGTTTCGGATCATTGCAAATTGCACTTCTTGGTCATGTCTTAACAAGATCAGGAGATCAGAAATGAGAGTTTGACCCTTTAATCATCGACCCCTCAGCTCCTTCCAGTCAGTAATCCGATCCTCAACTAAATATAACTGCATTATTCTCCTCCATTCACTCGTCAGAGAGAGCGGAAATGGAAACGGTTCGATTTCCTCCCCATTGACCACTTTTTGGCTGGTTAACAACATCAACGTTTCCAACTACTTTATCTACGTCAAACTTTGAGGACTTCAACCACATCTCAAGAGTCAGCCATAATGCACAATGTTGTAGCGTTGACAATTGGTCCTTTTATTAAAATGATGCACACAACGCAATCTTTTATACATAATCATCAGTAAGGAAGATATAATGTCTAAGTGGGCAAATGATTGAAATTTGAAAATGACATCAATTTAGCGTTTAGTATATAGCAATGATATTGTAAAATAACCAAAATCTAAGACAATATTCAGTCTCATTTAACAATATCGATACATTATCAATATATTGCCATGCCCTATAAGTGAACATATATCGCCAGACAAGGCTCTTAATTCTTATCTGGTCATGGAAAGAAAATGATTGGTCAATTAAAAGGTGTAACTGAAAAGCTGTAACAACTAAATATGAACTGCTGAAAAAAATACAAGATACAGTCAAATGTTAATCCCATAAAGAGTTTGTGGCCTTTTGCTCTGCACTGAATATGTATGGGTTAAAAGGCTCTTCGTGGCTTACCATTTCCTCCCATTCAGGAACTCATGAGCAACTAAGAAAGCAAATCTGAGACCCTCTGACATAAACTAACCCCATCTCTTTTCAAATTACATGACGGAGCGGTCTTTCATGGTTCGTTATCCATTTAGTCTATTAAGTGATCTGAAGTCGACACGAAACCTCTCTCGAAACTGGGAGAGAAGCCAAGATCTCATTAGGCGAAATATTCCTCTTGTGCTAGCTGCTAATGGCTAAACCAAAGATCTTTCCAAAGAACTTCTACAGCTCTGCATATTAGGAAGTGTGCACTTGTTTGAAGAGTTGTTCAACTGGACACTGGAGACTGATCAGTGAGTAGAAATTCTAATTCAACTTGAGGGATGAGATATGTACTGCATCCTTTTTGAAAGGATCCAGTTTCATGCAGGTATTCAAATAAACAATCGAGAATTAGGTCAGTGGTCTACATCATGTGACCGTCTACAAAACGGTCACATGATCACACTGTCTTTATTATTGAGTAATCTGCTGGTTATTTTCACAACAGATAAAGTGAAGACAATTTTTGTTGTCAATAATATAATGTGAGAACATAGTGAAAAACTATTTCCTTAAGCCAGAGGTGACATCTTTGATTCACAAAGCTAATAAAAAGCAGCTAATCATCACAATTGGGAAGTTATAAGTAGGGGAATCTTTTGCTTTTAATAATAATAATAATAATAATAATAATAATAATAATAATAATAATAATAATAATAATAATAATAATAAATTAAACTTGTATAGCGCTTTTTTTTTTTTGGCTAAACAAATAAGTGTAAGAGAAATGTTTATTTTTAAAGATTCTTGTTTTGGTTTTTATTATAGAGATAAATAAACTGTAAAGTGGGAGAGGGGTAGGGCCGTAGGGGTGACGAGAGGCAGCAGAGGGCCGCAGTTCAGATTTGAAATGTTTGTTTCCTTTTGTATTCCTTTTGCAACCTTTTTCTCTAGACCTTTATGGGGGTCCCGAACCCAGGTTGGGAACCACTGACCTAAAATACAACATGTGCCTCATTGCGAGTGTCAAGATCACTTTTAGAAGCACTCAGGGTGTGTATGATGCTGCGGATTAGACAGCTGGAAAATAGAGTTTGCTCACACTGTGTATACAGAGCACACACATTTGGAGTGTATTTTTAATACTAAACCTACGTGCTGGATAACTGGGTCTAATTGAATGAGCACGAGAATTCAGCCTTGCCCTTTTGCAAGTCAAAGACTCCTGCGGACTCTCCATGGAAAATTGAAACAGGCCCGGAATGTTACAGGTTAGGAAAAGACACAATATGGAATAAAAGAGACTGCTGACTTGAGTATTTGTTGATGCAGAGACACATACAGTATTCTTCTCTGACATATAAATACTTTGAATATCTCTTGTACTAGTAATGGTTTAAACAGGCACGTGCACTGTCAACATCTGTTACGAAGTTCATATGAAAAGTAGATTCATTCTACACCAAGGTCCTGTAATAAAAATGGTATTAAATATTTTTACTTTTTCTGCATGTAAACGGTCTGCAAAGTCACAAACCCTCAAAGAACACCCTGTAGCGAGTAAAACTCTAACAGAAAAGACCTGTCTATGCTGCCCCAGAACGCCTCGTTGGAGATTTCTCTTTTTCTTCCTGGGTACAGTGACGTGACCATACCCAAATGGACCCATTGGTCGAAATGGACCAATCCGTGGAGCTCCTCACACACACACACTCTCTCAGCGGCGAAACTGTGACGCGCTGGGGTGGGGGGGGTGCTAGTGGAGCCTTGCAGCAGCGAAACTGTGGCGTGCTTACACTGTAGGTTTAAATCCTATCTCTCTGACAGACATCAATTAATCTCCATTAACAACTCCAAATCCTCCACAGCCTTATTCCACCTAGCTTAGCACTTTCTACTTTTGTTTTTATTTTGTTTTACTTGCATGTAAGCGCTTTGAGCACCAGGAAAAGCGCTTTATAAATGTAATGTATTGTTATTATTATTAGGTGCGACGCGTTTGGGGGTGTGGGTGCTAGTGGAGCCTCGCAGATGGGGGTGCTGCAGCCCCCTCAGCACCCCCCCCTTCCCGCGTCCATGGTGCTCAGGCTGAGTTCAGGCTGAGTTTCGCGATGTCTCGCTGTCTCGCAGACCCCATGCAGCAACCAGGAAACGACACCAGTAATATAGCTCACACTGTCCCCTCCTCACAGCAGCGAGCCGCGCAACGTCCCGCCAACACGGCACCCAGACCCCACGCAGCATTCTCACCAGTTTGTCCTTACTGGTGTCATTTTCTGGTTGCTATTGTAACACATAATCACTGATGTTCCGCTGTAACGGTGGTGGACTCATCAGAACAGAGTGGGCAAGCTGACCAATCAGAGCACACTGGGCTCACAGGGAGGGGGGGGGCAGGAGCTCCAACAAGCCGTGTAGGACAGAGAGTGAATACACATACTATACAGAGATGCTATTAGATATTGTTACTATGCAAGGACAAGTACTATAAGTGGTTGCCTGTTATAAATACCTAGGTATCTGGCTTGATGATTGTCTTACTTTTAAACTTCATGTCAATAACCTGCTTAAAAAGCTGAGGGTTAGACTAGGTTTCTTTTTCAGAAACAAGTCCTGTTTCTCACTTGAGGCCAGGAAAAGGCTAGTCACTGTGACCTTTTTACCTGTGCTGGACTATGGTGACTTGTTGTATATGAATGCACCTGCCCATTGCCTGAACAAGTTAGATGCCGCCTATCACAGCGCACTGAGATTTGTCACAAATTGTGAAGCACTTACACATCACTGTACCCTGTATGCCAAGGCAGGTTTGCCATCACTTACTGTACGGAGGCTCAGTCATTGGTACACGTTTATTTATAAAGCTTTGTTGGGTAAACTCCCGTATTATATCTGCTCTCTGATAACACAGAGAGTTGCAAGCAGCTATTGTCTGAGATCGCATGATGTAGTATTGTTAGATGTGCCAAGAACAAGGACTGTCTTAGGTAAGACAGCTTTTATGTGCGCAGCTCCACTTGCTTGGAACAATCTTCAGCAAGAATTGAAACTGAGCAATTTCATTCCTCTGCATGTTTTTAAAGCTAGGCTAAATGAAATGCTCGTTGATACTATGGGTACTTGTAAATGTCTATAACTATGTAAATGTATCCTGTAAATATAATGTATGATGACCTTTATTGTTTTATGTTTCATGTGGAACCTATATGCTGCAGGTCTCCCTTGAAAAAGAGATATATGATCTCAATGGGACCAATCTGGTTAAATAAAGGTTTGAAATGAATGCTGTATGAGAAACCAATGTGAGTTTGGAAAATTGCACAATATAAATATATTCTAGTAGACCTCAACAATGGAATTATGATCAGTAGAAATGGCCATGACATGGGACCTTTAAGTTTGAACTTTGAACAATGTAATGAGGTTTTTTTTAGTTTAACAGGTTTAGTACACAGAAATTACAGGTTTATGAGTAGTAAAACTACACTATAAGTTAGGGTGAAATAAAGCCTGTATAAAACATCTGTTGGATAAATTATAATCTTAGAAAAAAATTGTAATTTCGTGTATAAAGCAACACTTGAACTGTGTTTAAATGAAACCACCATAATGCTACATAAATGGAACAACAGAATCATGCCTTAAAAGGTTAATTAAAGTCATTACATATCTTTATAATGTGCTTTGTTCAATGTGGCATTTTTAGGCAGTTTATCAATTTGTCTTTTTCCACATCTTCCTACACACTGACCCCATGATGACATCTTGAAGTTTGGGCTGATACGCAGCAACTTTGTACAGTAGATTTTTTTCAGGACATTTGATTTAACTTTGTATGCTAATGTTAGTGGTCAGATTTTCAAGAAGCATTTGCATTGGCAGCAACACACGGGTGCCCTTATTACGTTAATTGAATAAACTCAGACTATTTTAAATGGGAAAAAAAACATTCTGAGTAAAACATGACGGCTTTGCCTGTGCAGCACTGCTTCAACTTTTCCACACAAGAGAAAAAAGCTTGCAAACTTACGCGTATTGGCTGTAGTATCGGCCATTGATGGACAGAAGCTAACCGGAGGGCTGCTGCTGATGTTTTGGACAGCCGGCCGTTGTCGTGGTCAAACTAAACCAAACTGAAAGGAGGGACTTTCTGCAAACATCCACGTATTTCCTGATTCCCAAAGAGTGCATATACGCCCTAATCTTAAAGTGGTACTCCCCAACTCCATCTATCAAAGAGTAATACACAGGCAGCGGGAACGAGAGGGTTCACTCATGCTACTTCCCTCTTGGTTTGTTGTTCATAAAAAAGGCAGTTTTTGGGCTGAAAAGCAAACTGCAGGCAGTTTGCTTTTCAGCCCAACTGTATACTGTTTATCTCAGACGCGGAGGGATACTGAGTTGTTGTGAAAAGTAACTTACAATTCTACCCGTGGTATACGCTCAGTATACCACGGCTAAGAACCAATCAGATTGCTTGATTTTACTTGTCCGTTTTATAAATGTAAATAGACTAAGATATACAAGAACGGAATGTAAAATAAAATGTTCTACAGTTAAAGGTGGGGTAGGTACATTTGAGAAACCGGCTCGAGATACACTTTTTGTTATATTCCATGGAATGCTCTTAACATCCCGATAGCAATTAATATCTTAAGTGCTTTGACAAAAAATCCATAAAAAAATGTCATCTGTGGAAGCCGTAGTACTGTAAAAAGCACGACCAATTATTTTAGCCGGGCCTACCTGCCTGTGCACAAACGTATCTCGTGCCCTCATTGGTCATGTGCGCGTTCGTGTGTGTTGGAGGAGGGGCTCTATAAGGAAGTGGCAGATTTTCTCCGGTTGTGTATTTTCAAATTCTAGCGATCTCGAGCCGGTTTCTCAAATTTACCTACCCTACCTTTAAGTAAATACTGCAATAAACACTAACTGCAATTAAACAAGTAATATTCAAACGAGCTCAACATTGACTACAAGTCATACCACATCATTTGGACATTATGTTGTATTAGCCTTGAGTAAAATGAATGTAAGTGTTTTGCATAATTCTCTAGATTAAGGCGCCATCTACAGTATGCAAAGCACCTGTGTCACAGTTGTTTAAAATGTCATTTCAGAATTGTAGGCTAGTACAGAGAGAGATGATTCCTACAGTATGCTTTTCTTAAGATGCAAAGCTCTAATTCAGTTTTCTGAAACAGGATGTGAAATCTTCATATAGGCCTTTTTCAGCCAAGTGTATGCACATTGAAATATGTTGCCTCAATTTAAGAGACTTTCTTCTTTGGGAACTGCACTTTAAAACCCCTTAGGCATCAAGAGGAATCAAAACAGGAGAAAGACACAACACATTGCGCAGAAAACCCTGAAGAAGTATCACTGCACCCGCCTGAGGAATGTTCTGATTATGGGAGACCTATGACACAAATGGAGGAGTCTCAACTGCCCGTCACCCCCCCTGTCAACGCCTTTGAGGATACTCTTCATTCATCCCCCAGCTCTCTCTACTCTCCGCTCACCCTTTCACCCTCGCCCTCCCCCCTGGAGTTCGATGACCGCATGAAGGCGAGATGCAGGGTTGGCAGCATGTCCTTTACCCCCGCCCCTCAACGACGCCCACCAAAATCACCGAAGACAAGCCTACGTCAACCACCTCCCCCCCTGGCAGCATCTCCTTTACCCCCGCCCTTCCACAACGCCCACCAAAATCACAGCAGAGACGCGCACCATCTCCCCCGTCTTCATCACCGTGCCTACGTCAACCACCTCCCATCCCTTCAAGAAAGCATCTGCAGTCTCCGAAGCCTGATAAGGATGTGTGTGTACAAAACGCAACAAACTTTTACTGATATGTGCTGGGTCCAGGCTCAAGGGCATATGGCACTCTCAACTCTTTCCAGCACATGCCGGGGCCCTGCCTGCCAGTAGCTTTGCCGATATCTGTGTTGATAGGTAATAGATTAAGAGCGGTAAATCAGCTTAGAAACAGGAAGTGCTCAAACGTTTGTGTGAGGTTATCAAATTTAGCAGTGATTCCATGTCAGCCACAGCTTGTCACAACATTTTTTACTGATAGTGTATTTAACAAACTTAAACTAGCTTTATTAAATGTCAGGTCTTTGGCAGGAAAAACATTTTTAATCAATGATTTTATCACTGAGCACAATCTCGATTTTATGTTTTTAACGGAAACTTGGATTGAACAAAATAACAGTGCAGCTGTTCTTATCGAATCAACCCCTCCCAACTTTAGTTTTATGAGTCAGGAAAGAATGCATAAGAAAGGGGGTGGAGTTGCTATTTTGTTCAATGATTCCATTCAATGCAGGAAGACATCTTATGGGGACTTTGCTTCTTTTGAATATGTGGCCCTTCAGCTGAAATGCTCCTCTCGAGCTCTGTTCCTAAATATCTATAGACCACCCAAATACTGTGCAAGCTTTTTTGATGATTTTACTGAACTGCTGTCTATAGTGTGTATTGACTTTGACCGTTTAGTCATTGTTGGTGATTTTAACATCCATGTTGACAACCCCCAGGACAGAGGGGCTAAAGAACTGTTTTGTGTTCTTGATAACTATGGACTGACTCAGCATGTGGCGGAGCCCACGCACAATAAGGGGCATACTCTGGACTTAATTATCTCAAAGGGTCTGAATATCTCAAAGGTTGTGGTGACTGATGTTGCACTCTCTGATCATACCTGTGTTTTCTTTGAGAGCTCTATTTCTGTTCACAAAAATGTTCAGAAAGAGGTAACCACAAAGCGATATTTAACAGAAAATACTAGGGAAATGTTTACTCCGAATTTTTCATCCACACTTGCCCCTGCTAACATCTCAGTAAATGAGCTAGTAGATCATTTTAATTCAAAAATTAAAAATGTTATAGATACCATTGCTCCAACTAAGGTAAAGGAAGTGATTAGCAAGAAAATATCTCCATGGAGAAAGGCCATGACCGTGAGAACAGAAAAAAGAGAGTGTCGAAAAGCTGAACGTAGGTGGCGAAAAACAAATCTCCAGGTTCACTTTGAAATCTATAAAGAGAGACTTGGCCTTTATAATTTGGAATTGAAAAACGCACGACAGTCTTTCTTCTCTGACATCATTACCAAAAACAAAAACAACGCACGTGCCTTGTTTGCTACCGTCGACAGACTAACTAACCCCCCAGTGTCAGTAGCATCTGAATTTCTATCCACCAGGGCGTGCAATGATTTTGCCTCCTTCTTCACTGACAAAATTCAGAAAATTAGACAAGCAGTCAGTGCCTCTACATCAGGTACAGCAAATGTTTTGTCCCTATGTCCACCTAATATCAATTCAAACACCATGACACAATTCCATCAGATTAATGGTAAAAACTTAGAGGACATTATTCAACTTCTGAAATCCTCCTCCTGCTGCCTTGATATTATTCCAACAGGATTTTTCAAAGATGTTTTTCCTTGCATGGCCTCAGATCTACTTCATATAGTAAACACATCTCTTCACTCAGGTATTTTTCCAGAGGCCCTGAAAACTGCAGTCATTAAACCGCTCTTAAAAAAGAATAATCTAGATGCCTCAGTAATGAACAATTACAGGCCAATATCAAACCTGCCATTTCTAGGTAAAATCATTGAAAAAGTTGTATTTCAACAGTTGAGTAACTTCTTGCATTTAAATAACTGTTTGGATGTGTTCCAGTCAGGATTTCGTCCAAACCACAGCACTGAGACTGCTCTTGTAAAGGTCTTCAATGACATCCACTTAAACACAGACAGTGGCAGAACTTCAGTGTTAGTATTATTAGATCTCAGTGCTGCGTTTGACACTGTTGACCACAACATATTACTAGACCGACTAGAAAACTGGGTGGGACTTTCGGCAACAGTTCTAAATTGGTTTGAGTCCTACTTAAAGGACAGAAAAAACTTTGTTTCTATAGGTAAATACACATCTGAGTTGACAAATATGACATGTGGGGTACCTCAAGGCTCCATCTTGGGGCCTCTTCTCTTTAACATCTACATGCTACCACTGGCTCAGATAATGAAAAACAACAAAATAAGTTACCATAGCTATGCGGATGACACACAAATTTACGTGACAATTTCACCAGGAGATTATGCTCCAATTCAAACACTGAGTAAGTGCATTGAACAAATCAATGACTGGATGTGTCAGAACTTTCTCCAATTAAACAAAGATAAAACTGAGGTAATGGTTTTTGGAGCCAAGGCAGAACGTGTGGGAGTTGGCGCTGAGCTTCAGTCTGCAATGTTCAAAACAACAGATAAAGCCAGAAATCTAGGTGTAGTCATGGACTCTGACCTGAGTTTCAACTGTCACATTAAAACAGTTACTAAATCAGCCTACTATCACCTAAAGAACATATCTAGGATTAAAGGACTAATGTCACAGCAGGATTTGGAAAAACTTGTCCATGCTTTTATCTTCAGTAGACTCGACTACTGCAATGGTGTCTTTACAGGCCTCACTAAAAAATCTATTAGAAAGCTGCAGCTAATTCAGAACGCCGCTGCTCGAGTCCTCACTAACACTAAGAAAGTGGATCACATCACTCCTGTTCTGAAGTCCTTACACTGGCTTCCTGTGTGTCAAAGAATAGATTTCAAAATATTGTTGCTGGTTTATAAAGCTTTGAATGGTTTAGGCCCAAAATACATGTCTGACCTACTGCTAAATTATGAACCATCCAGAACTCTCAGGTCTTCAGGGACTGGTCAGCTTTCTGTCCCCAGAGTCAGAACTAAACATGGTAAAGCAGCATTCAGTTATTATGCTCCAAATATCTGGAACAAACTCCCAGAAACCTGCAGGTCCGCTGCAACTCTTACTACTTTTAAATCCAGGCTGAAGACTTTTCTTTTTGCCGCTGCTTTTAATTGAACTATTCACATCTTAAACTGAACTGTAACTTTTAACTTTTATCCATGTATTTTTTCTTTTAATGTTTATTTTATTATCTTTTTTTTTTAATGACTGATTTTAAATGCCATTTTTAAAATGTCTTCCATTTTTGTAAAGCACTTTGAATTACCTTGTGTTGAAAGGTGCTATATAAATAAACTTGCCTTGCCTTGCCTTGCCTTAGGCAAAGGTGACATATGTGATCTTGGGATATTAAGATAACTCTTCAGTGATTAA